GGGCCCAGCCGCTCCGCGGCATGTGGGATCTTCCCGGACCGGGGCACGAACCCGCGTCCCCTGCATCGGCAGGCGGACTCTCAACCACTGCGCCACCAGGGAAGCCCGAGTCCTTTAAGTCAGCCGTCACTCTACGTTTACTTTCCAGCTTCAAAATTGCACTGATTTGCCTCCTGTCCTGCTTGCCCCATCCTCATGGGTTTATACTTTTTTTTTTTTTTTCCTGCTGTGCCACACGTCTTGTGGGACCTTAGTCCCCAACTAGGGATTGAACCCAGGTCCTCTGCTTTCAAGCGCGGAGTCCTAACCACTGGACCGCCAGGGAATCCTATACCTTAAAAAAAAGAAAAAGAGAATCAATTCCTTTCTGTAGTCTTCATGGGGCTTTAGGAGCAGAAGACGTTTGGCGTATGTGTTTAGTCTGCCACCTTTAGGGAGGTTGTCAGGATACGACTAGCCTGGAAGCCCATATCCTTCACAAGTACACCAGCCCCCACTCCGGGGAGCTTCTGAACCCATCAGCTGGAAGCGGTCCCCCGCTTAGCCTGGGTCTCGGGGCCTATTCGGGCTGGAGCTCCAGGTGCTGGTTTATCTTCTCTCCAGGGCAGGAGTCTTAACTGGGTCATTTGACTCCCTCCTCTCTCCACCCTCCCACCCACACCCTCTGGCTCAGGGCTGCACAGAGATGGCACTGGGCGTGTTTTGTCGCTAGACAGAGGAAAAAGGGAAGGGCACGCGGGGAAGAAGACACAGCTGGGTAAAGGCTTGGAGCCACCGAGTGCCGAGTGTGAGGGGACATCCCTCTGCTTTCAGCTCCTGATCTCCCCCTACCTGCTCTTGAACCCTTCTTGGATCTTCTTCCTGGGCCTGAGACCCCAGGAGTGCTTGGAAGTTCAGGAAGGCTGGGGCCAGGACCTCAACTGCAGGCCACCCCACTAAAGGGAACTGAGGCCCTGCTGGTCCCTGCGAGGCAGGGCCGACCTCATCAGGTGCTACAGACACAGAGCCTCAGGGGTTGGGACCTCCTGGGAAGGACTGGCGCCAGCAACACTCCCCCTCACTCCCTGCCACCCCACCACTGCCTGACTCTCCTCCCAGATCCCTGTCACCTGCTCTGTCAGCCCAGCCCCACCCCCTGCTAAAACGTGCACTGTCTCCTCCAGGACTCTCGAGAAAGAATGGCCTGACCCCCATAGCATCCCCAGGCCCCCTGCGGCCGCCCCCGCCTGGCCCTCCACACCCTAGGTCTGTGCTCCTGCCTTCTCTCCCTTCCTCCCCCAGCTGATCGCTACTGCTCCATCAAGATGCAAGCCCACTTCCTCCAGGCAACCTTCCAGGAGCCCCTGAGTCTTGGTCAGGGGCAGCCCCAGCCTGTGAGCTCTGCCAGGACAGGGTTGTGGCTGATTCTCGCCTGGTCTGAAGTTGAGGGCCAAGTCCCAGTGCTGGGAAAGGCTTGGTACCTCCCTTGTCCCCAGTCCAGCATACAAGTTAGACCAGGTGACAAAATTCCAGTGTGACCTTTGATCTCAGAGGGTCCTTGTGAAAGTTTCCCTCCTACACCCAGGAGAGTCAGGATGTGTTAAACTAGCATGGACAGATTGCTGTCAAATCCCAGCTCTCAGGCCTGGAAGGGCCTTTGATTCAATCATGAGGAAACATTGTGGGGCATAGAGAAAAGTCCCAAGTTCAAATTCCTGCTCCTGTGTGATCTTGGGCACCTGGCTTATTTTCTGAGTCTTGGCTTCCTTACGTCTATAGTGGGATCACTGACATCTGCTCCTTGCAGAGTTGTTAACTATCCCGTGAGATCACGTCAGGTACATGCCTGGTACCTGGTTACAACTCATTAAGTGATAGGCGTGGGGCTTGTTTTTGTTTTCACAAAAAGCTGAACTGTAAACCTTCATTTTGAGATGAGACAGGGATCAGAGAGCTCGTGGGCCTCATCCAAGGCCACTCAGGGACACACAGACGTAGGACTCACAGAAGCAACAAATCACGGAAGGGCACACGGAGCGGGCAGGAGGGCAGAAGCCATTCAGCTCGGCCTTTAGTCAGGAACTCCAGGAGCACATGGTCTTGTGAGATTCCAGACTCGGGGGCCTCCCTCTGGAGGCTGTGATTTGTGAGTCCAGGGTAGGACCAAGGAATCTGTATTTTCAACAACTACCCCCCCCCCCATTTGGCACACGGCTCTGACATGCACCCAGGCTGGGCCTGCAGCTCAACGCTTCCGGCTCCATCAGATACTGTGGGTGCAGCTCTGCTCACACGCCGTAAAGATCGGAACCTCCCACCTCCCATAGGCAGCCCCTTCCGACGTTTAACAACTCACACGCTATTAGAAAGTTCTTTCCGATCCTGAGCAGAAATCTGTCTCCCGATCACTCCGCGCAAACTCCTCCACCTGTCTGTGCTTTATTTCCTCATCTCCAAAGTGGGAACCAACAATAGGACCCAGTGAACCTTCAGACACAAATCCCTGCCTGCTGGCACTGGGGGGCATGTGGGGGGCGACCACCGTGAGGGCCTCTCAGGAGTTAATGCCTTGCAAGTTCCCATCTGGCACATAGCAGTTAGCGGGTTTTATAGGGTCACCTGGGCCCCTCCACCTGGGTCCTGCTGGGTTCCCTGCGGTGGGCTGAGACCTACAAACCTATAGGACTGACATGGAGCACTTCCTGAAGCATCAATTTACTTGACAGTAAGTAATTTTAAATATTATTTTTGAAAAAAATGTTGCTTTTGTACTAGAACAACCATGAGATTATTGTGGATTTGCCTGCAGAATTCACCTAGATATTCAAAGTAAGTTAGGAGACATCTAATTGCTTACACACTTCCAAACTCGGGGGGTACTGGGGTGGGAGTTTTCTACAGGGTAAAGATGTTTCCTGTAGGAAAGTTCCAGATGTTCTTCTCTGGGCAGTGCACCTACCGTCGTTCACCTGACGTTTCTTCGACCTGCCCAGGGGCTGTGCAGGGTCCAGGGTGGAGGGGCGGGGGGAGAGGGGTAAGCCCACGAAGGACTCCAACGCAGCAGGTGCCTCGAGGCAGGACACAGGAGCTCTGGAAGGTTCTTGAGCTCAGCACCATCTGGGTAAAGGGCAGGATTTGCTGAAGTGACAATTGCAAGAGGGTGCGGAAACAGGCGGGGGCTCTGGCCTTGAGGCAATGCGTGGGGCCCTGAGGTCCACCCTGGCCCTGGCCCACCGAGGGACCTGGGATAACGGGGCAAGAAGGGGCTGGATGAGCCGGCTGGTCCACACAGCCTGAAGGCAGGGGTGTCTCGGAGGCAGGAATGGAGTCCCTGAGCTGGTGTCAATACTCCTCAAAGCCTCCTTGAGGAGGCTGCACGCCCAGAGGCTCATGGAAATGCCCTTCTTTGCTCCGGGCTGACATCACCTCTGCGTGGGCTCGTGCCGAGCCCGTCAGGATTGGCAGGAATCTGTGTCCTTGTTTGGCTTCAAAGCAGGGGGCCCAGAAAGAAGAATCATGAAAGATGCCCTTGCTGGAGGAAACGTCCGGGAGCCCGGCTGACAGCCTCCCTCTGGGCTTCGCTGAGAAGAGGCAATAACCACACCCACGGCCCAGCGTCTGGGTTCCCAGGGGAAGTGGCAAGTAGCACCTGCTGAATGCAAGGCCCCAGGCAGACCCTTCCTTATACATGACTTTACAGTGTTGGAGGGACAAGGTCTTAAGTCCCGTAAAGCGGGGAGAGGCGCTTTGTGGACTAGTATTCATAGAGTATCCTCCATGCAGACGAAACCAAAATGAGGCCGAGGAACCTTCTCAAGGTCTACTGACCAGTGGGGAGCGGGAGTGGGAGGACTGGGTCCTGGTGACCCGCAGCCCTGCCAGCCACACCACACTCACACGCCGAGAACCGGCCTTGCCTTCAGGAAGAGGAGGAGCTGGCGCGCAGCAGGGGAGGACTGTCACCCTCTCCAGGTGTGCAGGGACCTCGGGGGATGCTGAGCAACCCAGCGCCCTCCCCTCAGGCTGTGAGGTGGCAGCACCGGTCCGGTCCGGAGGCCGGGTTCACATCCTGGCTCTGCCACTCCCAGGCCTGATGAGCTGGCGCTTCCAGATGCTGAGCGGGGCAGGAGGCGACTGCCACCTCCCAGGGCCGCCGCGAGCTACACAAGACACCCGTAGACTATTAACAGCACGACACATTATACCACCCTTTATTATCTCTTTACTGCCGTAAAAAAGTGATTCTAACTCTAGAGACCAAACAGCATACAGAGACATTCTCGGAAGAGAATCCCTTTGTGCCCAAGCCTCTGTGACTGATTTTGAATCTGCTCACCTGCACAATGGAGATGGCTTCGTAGTGGAGGGGGGTCAGGGCCCTCTGCTGAGATCCGTTTTTCTTCTGCTCATGCCGCGGCTCCCCTCGGAAACCGGCACCACAATGGGCCCTGCCCTGCCACAGGAAAACATGTTCCTGGACCACAGGGCGAACAGGGAACCTTGGAACTGGCCTTTGACTTTTCAGAGTCCAAGCACACTGGAGGCCGTGCACAGCAGCCAGTCCCTGGTGAGCTGTGTCTGGGGCATCATGGGGCAGGAGGCTGGGCACCAGGTGGGGGGGTGTTGGCAAGAACCCAGGGGGGCCTCAGAGACTGACAAGGAAGTTTGAGTTCTGCTCCACCACTGACTGCGTGACTTGGACAAGGTGTGAGTCTCCTGAGCCTGCTTCCTCCTCTGAAAATACGAAGGGCAATTCCAGCTGACAGCCCTGGTGGCACCCCTTCCCCACTGAAGGCAGAGAACATGCATGAAATGGTCTAACTGAGGGCCTGGGCTGGCCTGATCCCGACCCTAAGTGTCTGTAAGAACAGTGCACGTCTCCAAAGCCCTCGACCACCCAGAGCAGCCGGTCTCCAGGACCTTCTGGAACCATTCTCCACTGTTCTCTGTTTCCAGTGAGCCCCGAGGCCTGGCCTAAGACCTGTCTGTTACCGTGGAGCTGGCAGAGACTCACAGTCAGTGGTTAAGACTGCAGTCTTAGCAGCTCCCACCCTGGGGCCCTCCCCAGCTCCAGCGGGGAAAAGCAGAGCAGAACTGGCTCACCCCGATTCAGGGCCTCGCCACTCCCGGAGGGGCCTGACAAGGGCGGCCCCTGCCCCCACTCAGGCCGGGCACACCTCCCCTCTTCACCCGGCCCTGGGGAGCCAGCCCTGCCCAGCCTGCCCACTCTGGTGGGCTCCAGGACCAGTGCTCCTCTTGGACCAGTTCTCTCCGGTTCCTTTCCACCTGACTGCCCCCTCTGCAGCCATCCCAGTGCCCCTGAGCCCAAAGAGGCCTAGGGACGGGGCCCAGGGACGGGTGCAGGCCTCGAAGGTGCAGACGCCAACTGGGGTTCCGCTCTGGAGGCCAGCTGGAGAAGGCGGGAACCACCCCCCAGGGGCGAGGGGGCGCTAGCAGTGGCCACAGGCTCCTCCAGGGGAGATGGTGTCGGGAAGGGGGTGGCTTTGGGAAAGCAGTGGCTGCCACTCGCGGGGCTCGTGGGCTGCCGCCCTTGTGCCCCTTGCTCTGAGAAACAGCAATGGTCGTGGCTGAGGCTGCCGGGGGACTGAGCCTCCGGCCCCTGTGCTGCCGCCGTGGCAAGGGGTCCGGTCTGCGTTGGTGCACTGAGAGAACATTCTCTACAGCACCGCAGGCTGTGGAGTAAGAGTACGATGCAAGCTGAGCACCAGGCCCCCGCTGGCCCCTGGGGCACAGGCAAATGGCAGGAAAAGGCCCGGAGCTGGGCCCCGTCCCCAGGCAAGGTCCTGCTCGGGCTGCACTCCGCGGCTGGGCTACGGCGCCATCACCACACTCTGCTCGCCATGGTCCACGCTCCAGAGGCGGTAGAACTCCGCAAAGTCCACGTAAGGCTCGACGCGACCATCCTCGCCGGGCGGGAGCGAGTGGGCGGGCCGGGAGCGGAAAAGGCCCCCGTCAGAGCTGGAGCTGCTGCTCTGGGTGTGCGTGTTGGTGGACTGCAGGGTCAGGGTCGGGCTCTGGCTGGGAGCACAACAGGGGCAAATCAGTGATGGGCCGTGGCGTCTGGCCAGCCCCTCAGGGCACAGGCCACAAAGGCAACCACAAGGGCCAGCCGGCCAGATGTCCTTCGGGGCAGAGGAAAAGTCAAATGTATTTTTGAAGCTCTAACCACATGTAGCTCTTTAAATTAACTAGAATGAAACAAATGGAGCCCCCACTTCAGTGCTCAATAATCACGCGTGGCTAGTGGCTACTGTGTAGGATGTAGAACCTGCCACCCGTGGAGCGGCGCCGAGCTGGGCGCCATCCACTCCAACCTCTCCAAATCCATCCCAGACCAAACCCCACGGGTCACAGGCAGGCCAGGGCTCTTCTCCCGGAAAACTTCCCTCCTCCCTCCTCCTCGTTTCTCTCGCAAGCTGGGTGGGGACGGGCCCCCCATGTTCCCAGAGCTCCCCGGGCACCCACCCTCTGCCACACAGCCTGTAACATCTGGGAATTACCTGCTAACCCACTGTCCTGCACACGCCCAGCACTCAGAGCTGGGCCAGCCCGGCAGCGGGGTGGGGGGGCAACTAAGCTCTGACGCAGGATGGAGGGACCAGGGAGCCGGAGGCACAGAAGAATGGCTGGTTCTCCTGCCTGGTCTGGGATGGCTGCTACACGCCCTGCCTTTGTGGACACAGCTGGTGGCTCCTCTGAGCAGCCCTGCAGGGGTGGGGAGGCCACCCGTACAACGCTTAGGATGCCCATCACTCAGCTGCCCGGCAGGCCCGTCCAGCCCACAAGGGTGGCGGCAGCAGCCTGGGGGCAGGGAGAAGGAAAGGCCCCCTGCGAGGCACAGGGAAACCTTCCCGGTGGCCCTTCCAACCGGCCAGATCCTGAGTGGGCTGGGTGGGGCACCTCTATTATTCTGTGCAGGGCTGGAATGTGGAAACCAGAGCCCAGCCCCCTGGTGTGGCAGGTGGGGGTACATTCCCCAGACGTGGAGGGGGCGGGGCAGACACCCGACCTGTCAGGCAGGTCTGCCAGGAGTGAGGAGGGGGCCCGCCCACCATACCCCCAGGCTCCAGACCCCCTGCTGCCTCCACCCCTCCCCCAGCCTGAAACTAGAGAACTCGCTTCAAAGCTAAAATCTGACGCTTCAGTCAGAGAGCACTGGCTCTCATAAGCCGGCACAGGCCAAACAATGTCCCACAAGCACAGATACCATGGGGGAGGCCCCCCAAATCACACACTCCAAGACGGGAGAAGAGAAAAGAACAAGAGGACAACCTTCCCATTAAATGAAAACGAATACATGGCACCTGCAAGAAGAAATGAGCAGCAGGCTGTCAGCATGAGCTGCCTGTCTCCACCCCCTCCCTTCCGGCTTCAAGGAGCTGCTGGAACCTGCAGCCTCGCCTGGGAGGCTACGGAGGCCTCCCCAGGGATGGAACTGGGGGATTTGAGAGGAATAAGACCCCAGCACGTCTCAGGGCGTCTCATCCAAGGTTCCTCAGGCACAGGACGTGGCCCTACGGCCACTCCTGTCCAGGGACCCAGGGCTGTGCCCAGGAAGCAGGCCTGTGATGGCTGGGGCTGGGGGTGGCCGCTTACTTGGTGAGGGTGGGAGTGGCTTCGTCCAGGGTGGAGGCACTGTGGGCCCCGTTGACTAGCTGGCCCTGGGAGGGCATGACGAGGGACAGGGTCACGCTGGTTTTGCTGGTGCTCTGGGCGCTTGAGTAAGGCACGGATACGGGGTACACGCGTCCTCCTGCAGCTATGGGAGGAAGAGAGTGGTGGGCTACAGGACGCAGCTCGGGGGGACCCTGGGGTGGCAGCAACAGGGCCGCTCCAGGGCCTGAGAAGGTAGGCGGTGGCCCGGCTTGGATCCCCTAGCTTGACCCTCCGCCCCTTAGGACAGCGAAGGAGTACCTGCGGCAGAGACTCTTCCGGGCCAGGCAGGGGCCTCGGCTCAGCAGCAAAGCACTGCCGGTGCTCAAGGCAGGAAGAGAAGTGCTGAGCTGCCTCAACGGAAGGGTTACTGCCTGGCTTCCCACGGTGCTTTAACCCAAGGGCTAAGTATGCTCCTAGTTGAGGTTGGCCCAACAAAAATACGGTTGCAATAACAAGCTAGAGAAACTCCAGTAACCCCGGTGTCCGTGGGAGAACAAATCCATCTGATGCTTGAGTGCTAGAGCTTGCTTGTTTGAAAAAAAGAAAAAGAAATGCAGCCCCCAGGAACTGATGGTCTTGACACTAAAGCAGCACTGGGAGGGAGAACAAAAGAATAATTCTTCCTGGGCAACATGATTCAGAATTAAAAAGGTAGAGAGTAAAGTGTCTCTCCCTCACCTCTGACATGCCCAACCTCGGCTAGGTCCCTTCCTTCTAGGGCCTCAGTTTCCTTTCTGTAAAAGGGTTGTTAATGAGGACGAAAGGAAATACGCGGGCGAGGTGGCTGGCGCACAGCAGGCACTGAGCCCGCAGCTGCCGCTGTCCCCGCGATGTGGCCCGTGGTGCTGCAAAGTGCTTCCCGCACCCTCAGGTCTTTCAAAGGAGGCCAGGGCAGGTGGTATTGTCCTCATTTCACAGACAAAAAGGGAAAAATAAGCACAGCTCAGACAGCTTTAAAGTCAGGGCCGGGCCTGGAACTGCTCAAAGCCAGGCCTCCCGACTCCACTCCACCCCAGGCAGCAAGGCCGTGGCCTCGGGCACAGGCTTGCGGCACACATACCTGGGGTGGGGGTGGGTGCGGCCTGGCTCATCTCTCCCAGGGGGTAGCCAAAGTTCCGCACCAGCAGGGTCATGTCCTCGTGCCTTGGGCAGAACTTGGCACGCTCCCCGCCACTGGCGAAGGTGTCACTGTGGATGCGCTTCACCCGGTCCACCACGGCCTGGGCCACTGCATCCAGGGAAGTCTGCTTGGCGAACTCCGTGTCGATCATGGCGGCGATCTCCTGGGGGCGACGGGAGCACAAACCTGGTGAGCAACGAGGGGGCCCAGGGAGTGTAGGCCACACCTTCACAGCCAAATCAGGACACTTAGGGGTCACCAGCCAAGCAAGTGGACGTCCCCACCAGCCAAGCCTGCCACCTGAGCTTCTCAAGGTATTCAGGATAATTCTTTTGGAACCTTCTCATTAGAAAAGGTGTGACCTTGTGATTTCTCTGATTTTTGGCTTCCACACACCAAAAAAATGGGGGATAATATCCACCTCACTGCATTACAGTGAGGATTAAATAACATAACGGATGTGAGGGCACTTCAAGCTCAGTACAAATTGTCGGCTTTCTTTCCTGGAACAAACTTATTGTAGGAGATGATATGTCGATTTTGTCAGAAACTGAGGATACAGGATGAAGAGAGGGTCCCTGCCCTCAGAGAAGTCCACTGTCCCGTGTATTCTAGAACCCAGCAGAAGCCACTGGACAGTCTTATCACGAAGAGCAAAGAAAGGAAAAAAAAGATCACATTTATGGTAAGATAAAAAATATAAACACAAAATCCTCTACATGATGGCTGGCTGCAGTCTCTTGGAGGTAGGAGGGCAGGCTGGCAGGTAACAGGAAATGACCTGGGCCCGGTCCGGGGGGCTCAGCTCCAGCACTGACCAGCTTTGTCACCTCAGGCAAGACCCTGAACTCTGTGAGCCCCAAGTTCCCTAGCCTGACATGGCAGTGAGCCCCTGCCCCTACCATGTTATAAGGCTACTGGAAGGAATGAGATAAAATAGATGAAAAACCTTGAACACAGGTATTAGGAGACAGTGAGGCGCCTAAGACTTGCCCTCATTATTTTTAATTAGGACAAAGCAGAAAAGGTTACCTTCTCACCAGAATCACAGATGGAAGGAGAAACACAAGCTGAACTTCTCTGACTGACCCAGCAAGCCCAGGTCAGGTAAAGGCAGCTTCCCTTCAAGTCATCCTCAATGTGACTGCCTCCAAGTCCCGCTTTAGTGACGACCGTCTGACACATGCATCCCAAGGTGTAGGAAAAAGCAGCAGCTCCCCCTGGCTGAGAACCTATGTCTACCACGCCCAGCCTTCATCACAGCCCCACAAAGGCAGAGGTCATCATCCCCATCTCAGAAACAAGGAATGAACTGTGTATCATGTGCAACTCAAAGAGGGAAGCGACCGAGGCAGTGGAGCGGGACCTGGGCGGGCCGCACGACTCCTTGGCCAGCGTTCTATGTACCAGGCCGCGCCCCTGCGGGGCTTTCCTCCGCGGCCCACCCGGGCCCTTCCCAGACAGTCTCCAGAGCCACGTGTGCCTGTGGAAATTCATTTCCCTCACCCTCTTCCCTTAGGCTTTGCTCAGGACCCTGGGGACTGGAACTGCTTCAAGCCCAGATGAGCAAAGCTTTTGGGTAGGATGGGTGTTCTTGGAACTCTGGGCTTTTTCTTCTCCCAACTTTGAACCCAGAGAAGATGTCTGGTGAAAGCATGTGAGAATCAGAGCTCTGGGGAGCATGCCACCCTGCAGGCTGACCAGCCATGCTCTGCTCGGGCCCAGCTCACCTGGTTGGCCTGCCCAGGCCCGTGGGCTGCCTCCAGGGCCTTGTACAGCCCCTCGGACATCAGCACCAGGAAGCCAGTCACCCCATCCAGGGGCTGTGCACCGTGGATTTCAGGCTCCGCGATGATGGGCTTGGACTTGGCAGCGCTGTGGGAAGAGAGCAGAGGGCACAGCTGTGCTTGGAATGGCCCCCTGGGGACATTTATTCTGGTGAGAAGAATCTACATCCAGAATGTAAAATAAAACACACATCTGACAAGAGGAAAAGAAAGAGAGGAGAGAGAAAACCAGAAAAACAGACCTGTCTTCTGAGGGCAGCTCTTAAAATAAAGCTCAGAGGGCCAGGAAAGCCAGGGCGAGGCTGGGGTCACAACGGCCAAGGTCAAATGCCCAATCCTGGTCCCACTCCGCATTTCCTGTCCACAGAGCTGGGGGGTGGCAGGGGGAGGGGGGGGCAGCCAGAGGGATGGGTTCTCTTTTAAAAGCCCACTCCTCTTGGGCTCCTCCAAGCTGACCCAGGCCCCACATACACTCTAGCTGCAGAGGGACTATGAACTGATGCACCATCAGAGCTGGTCAATGTCAGGAAGCTCCAACATGCACACATGCACACAGGGCAAGGATAAGAAGATGTTCCTGGCAACAGGATTTGAAAGAGTGAGTCTGGCAACATCCTGAAGGTTGGTCCATCAGTAGGGGCGGGTTGGGTGAGTGCTGACAGCTACACACTGGAATCCTAGCAACTGTTACCAAGAATGCTGCCAGCCTAAATTGTAGGTGTGCAGGAATGGAGGAGTGGGTGCCTATACTGAAAAAAGTGAAGTGCACAACACTGGGCGCGGAATGCTAGCATTTGTGGGTGTTTTGAAAAGGCAACTTGCTCCCTCCCCACCCCCAACAAGCACGCGCCATGCACAGTGCATGCGGCGCGCACACACACGCGCGCACGTACACAGAAACTCCAGGGCAGGATACCTCAGAAACTAGCAGCTTCTGAGGAAGGAGTCTGGGCTTGGGGTGGGAGGAAGATTCACTTTTCACTGCATATCCTGGGCACTGTTTGAATTGTTTTAAACCACAGATGGACCTTTCCATAAAGCAAACAGAACCCGACAAATTAGAGACAAAAGGTTCCAAACGTAATTATTTAAACCTTGTGAGGGTAAGGAGCTGTAACACATGTTTTCTAAGACACAAGGTGGGCATCACACACACACACAGTGTTGTTGCATACAGGGTCGCCGTAGTTCAGGACACAAGCTCTGAATTCAGCCTGCCTGGCTTCAAGTCTTGCCGAAGCCCACTATTAGCCCTGAGACCAGGCAGGCTACCTAGTGTCTGCATGTGTCAGTTTCCTCATATGAAAATACCTCTGGGGCAATAAGAGCACCCACTTCATAGGGCCTGAGGACTGAATAAGAGAATGGATGTAAAAAACTACGCATGGGCTTGGATGAAGGCTCACGTTATTATCATTGTCTGTTTGCTATGAGCAGTGGGTGGCATCCAGAAGGGACAACCCATCTGGCAGCCCCGCCCTGGCCCCAGTCATGACAATACCGGCCAACAGGCCTTCGGTCTGTCTCTATCCACACCAGGCAGCTCATGCCAACTCTGGCCTCTCCTGCCAGGCCCTGGGGCATTGGTTGCTGCCCTTGGCTTTGGCCCAGCTCCCCACCTAACCCCTTGCCAGCCTAGCTCTACAGGACCCCAACTCCTGGCCTGCTGCCTGCTGGGTCCAGGGCCTGCCCCACACCAACCTCTCCGGGAGAACGAAAGAATCTCCTTGGGCTCCAAACTACCTCAACTGTACCTTTTGTCCCTAGAGCCTAAAATCTGCATCTGCCCCAGGCCTCTGGTCTTACAAATGGGGGCAGCTGGGCCGGCCACTCACCTGAGTAGGTCGATGTCAGTGTAGCCGTATTTGACCTTGTAGTCCCCAATGCGCCTGGTGCTTTCCTGCCCACAGATGACGCCCACTTGCTTGATCTTTCCTGCATCCAAACCTACCAGAGGAAGAACAACACGACAACCTCAGAGTTTGTTCATAAAGAAGAACCAAAAGAAGGGGATACAGACATATCCACAAAAACAAGGCACTGAACAGGAAGTGAAATCATAGCAGGCACCTTGGAGGGCAGTTAGCCCAAAGTCCCCCAGTGTCCTCAGCCCCCATCCCCATCAGAACACCCGTGGCTCAGAGTCCTCCCCTACGGGACAGCAGATCCAGCACCGCCCAGCTCAGCTCCCTCTGCAGCCTGGGCTCACAGGGAAGGGAGGGGGTGGCCATGGCGGCAGCTGGAGCCCCAGGACTTCTTTGGCCTCTCAGTCTCCACCAATAACAGTGCATACCAGAGACTCCTGGAAGCATTTCACATGTAGTAACTCTTTCAATCCTCACAACACCCTGAGGTTAAGTGTTACTATTATCCTCATTACACAGAAGGGGAAACTGAGGCACAGAAAACTTGAGTAAGTTCCAAAATCACCAACTAATAAGTGGAAGAGCTGGGATTCAACCCCAGGCAGGCTGGTCCCAAGCCCAAGGTCACAGCCCGTCCACTTCATGCCTTTCTCTACGTGGCCAACAGAAGGCACAGGGTGAGCCACCAGGCCCCGCCCCCCACTCACCCAGCTGTGAGAGCCGGAAGAGCTCATCCTCATTCTCCGTGGTGTGGTCCACGTTCAACTGTGTCACCTGAAGACCATCCACCGTGGATTTGCATAAAAGCGCACGGTTCGTACCTGCAGAAGAATTCAAGCAGCTGAGCAAAGACTGAGAGCACAGCGAAGAACAGGACACGTTGAGAAAAGAGAGAAAAGGCAAGCATCTCACACATGGAAATCCTTGAAATGAGCAAAGAAAATAGGCTCAGGCCACTGGAGCCAGTGAGCAGTCAGGGAGAGCTGATGATATTAAGGAATTAGGTTAAACTTTTCCAGTGGCATCCGAGGACAATTATGATTAGGATCTTAACGAGACCTTTACCCTAAGGAGCCACACTGCAGTATTTACAGATAGCACGACACAGCGTCTGGGTTTGCTTAACAACAACGCGGGGACAGAGGGCTGTGGATGAAGTGAGGCTGGCCGGCGGAGGCTGCTGGGGCTGGGGGATGGGCACACAGTAGTTCACTAAATGCTCTTCACATAAAAATGCTGTTTATTACAGTTTTGAATCTTTTCCGTAACGAAATCTTAAGGAAAGGAGGAAGAGAAGAGGGACCGTATCAGTGGGGTCTCTCCAGAGCCCCTGCAGTAAACTGCACCCTGAGGGCACCGCCTTCTCAGGCTCGAACATGGCCCTTCTTCACCTACAAATCCAAATGTCCCTGTGACCTCTCACCCTCCAGCCCAAACCCAGCCCATCTTGCCGCCCTTCATGCCAAGTGGGTCTTCCACAGCCGGACAACTTCTTCTAGACAAGGAAGCCACTAAGGTAGCCCAGAGAGGGGACACAACTCCCCAAGGCCACAAGCCAGTTAGGGGCACAGGGGGGACTCAAGCCGGGACACCAGCCTCTCAGCAGGTACTTCAAATGCCCCGGCCTGGGACTGAGACGTCCTATGGAGTTAACGGGAAACACTTAGTGGTCTCAGGACGCTCGAGGTGGAGGTCTTCCGTGTCTGGGAAGCAGACCGCCCAAAGGACACACGGATCCCGAGGCTGACCTTCTCCCCTGCTCTCCCGCCTTGGGACAGGCAGGTGGCTCACCGACATTGGCGACATAGAGCCTGTTGTTGAGAAGGACCGCCACCACGGCCATGGCTCCTCCCGAAATCTCCTTCTCCAACGTCTTGAGTCTTTCGAGGATCTTCTGATACTGAGGGGGCAGCTGGTGCTGAGGGGCGCCCTAGAAGCCATCACCGGCGGTCAGAGCAGGCCAGGGCCTTGGAGAGCATCTCACCAACCTCCCCTCCCTTAAAGACAGAGCATCTGAGGCCCGGCCGGGAAGGAAGCTGGCTGCAGCTCCAGGGCAGGCTTCTTTCAGGAGAGCCAGGCGTGACCTAATTCGTCCCGTCGGCCCTGAAGGTACCTGCGCATGACGTGAGCAGGCGGGTGACGAGGCCTGGACAGATTCGGGCCGAGGACCGACCTGGAAGGAGCTTCTCTCACACCCTATGCCCACCCCAAGTGGAGTCGCAGAGTATGGCTGCTCGTAGCCAGCCAAGGAGGGTCCTAGGAGGGCAGACCCGTTGCCACCTGCATCCCATCAGAAACTGTCCCCTAACGCCTGCTGCTCTGGCCTAGTTGTATCAATGGCCTGGGAGGGGCATGACAGACGAGTCCTTGCTCCTAGCAAAGCTGGACCTTGATCTGCTGCTCGTGGCGCACAGGCTGGGGACGTTACCTCAGGCAGCTGGGACTGGAGGCTCGCCTTCTCTGCCAACGCGTCATCGATGGACTCTAGGAAGCTCCTCTCCACCACATCGAAGGCCTGGAGGCAGAGGACAAGGCGGCAAAGGCCAGTTCAAACACCACTGTCATCTGAGGCTGAAATGCTATTAACGGCAACAAGTTGCATCAACCGCAGGTTACCGTGTGATGGGGCTTCGTACAGCGCACCACCAGGCACTGCTGCTCCCGCAGAGCAAGGTCTGATGAAGATGGCCCCGTGGGGCTGGTGCCTTCCAGGTGGCAGTGCAGAGCGGCCAGAGAGGTGGGACGCGGCAGGGAGGTAGGGAGCACAGGCTGCCTGAGGGTGACGGCCAGCTTGGCACTTGCCGGCCAGGCAGCGCGGCCTCCTCAGGGGAAGCGCTGTTCTGACAGTGACTGAGGGTGTGCGCCTTGAGCACCTAGCGCCCGGCTCAGACCAAGTCTAGGTCAGTGACAGCTAGTGTCACTGCCACATCCTGAAGGGCCCTCAACACAGCTCACGCTGCCGCCTTTCCCAAGGGCGCCAGCTGACACTCACTGGCACTGGGCCCTAAGGCCATGGCCGGCGCGCGGGCCCGCAGGTGCCAAGGCAGGAAAATGGCTGGGAACGCTGTTTTCGAGGAAGAGGAATCCACATTTCTCGTCTAAGACTAAGTGCCCCTGGACTTGCTTCCAAAAGGCGATGCCAGGAGGACAAACTCCATAACAGCAGCGAGCAGAAACGCAGAAGTGGCAAAACAAGCACAAGCCCAGCGGGAGCGAGGAGGCAGGGCCTGGGGAGCCCCCAGTGACTGAGTGCCTGAGCCACGCGGGGGGAGAGGGCCACCCTCAACGACCTTGTCTCTACCAGGGCTCAGCTGCTGCCCCCATACCCCACGTCCAAGGTGACGTCCATAATCCCCTTCCCCAGGAGCATCTCGTCCAGGGCCAACCCCGCGAGGCGTGGGGAAGGACTGCTGCTGGCTGCCCGGCCCTGCACCTGGGAAGTGGGGTGCCCCTGCCGCTGGGAGAGGCTCCCAGAGCTGGTTCTTCTGCGGAGACAAGGAGCCAGCGAGGCCTTCAGACCAGCCCCGGGCTAACCGCACGCTCTGCAGTCGCAGGGCCGAGGCCCAGGGAACTCAGCCACGGCCAGCCAGCCCGAGCCCCAGTACCTGCAGCAGGACCCGCCGCACGTCGGCCTCAGTGTGCTCGGCGCTGAGCTGGCCCAGCAGGAGCTCCGCAGACAGCCGCTGGGCCACGAAGTTGGTTACCCGGTTGCCATCGTAGCCGTTGAAGACCCCGTACAGGAAGCAGCTGTCCTCACTCCTGACAGAGGGAGAGGGCAGGAGGTGGCCTGAGACCAGGGGCTCACAGGAGAGTGATGCCAGCTCCAGAGTGAGGGGGAGAAAGGAAAGGCATTGGGGAGACAAAAGACACAGCAGCTGTGGCTTCAGGTGCCCACGTGGGCCCCCCACGTTGACTATCATTGCACTCTGGCCGTGACTTTCTAGGATACCCCTGCCCCCTGGAGCAGGCCTTCAGCTGGTCTGAGGTCTAGACGTGGAAGGGACAGCAGCAGACATCACCTCCCGTGCGCCATATCGCACTAGGAAGCCCCACGGAAAACAGCTGCAAAACTGCTTTCTCTTGCTTGCAAACCTACTTCTGGTGCCCAGGAGGGCGCTGCCAGCACTCTCACCTGAACTTGAGCCAGTTGTCCTCTGGTGGGTGGCTCTCAGTGCCCTTGCCATCGGCAGAGTAGCTGCGGTTGGAGGCTGAGCCAACTCCAGAGAGGTGGCAGAGCGGCAGGTCATCCGTCCAGCTTGGTTGCTGCTCCTGGGAAGGACACCAGGAAACCAAGCGCGTTACCTTCTCACCCAGGGCAGACCCCACCTCATCTGCTTTTTCTTCCCCAACAAAAACCTAGCAGGCCCGGAGCCCCACCCAGAGGGTTCCACTTCCTCCTGGAAAACAATGATGCGTGTATGAACAAACACTTGCAGAAGGGTTTGCGTGGTTTATGGCTAATCCACAAACTTCCCCGGGAAACCTGAAAAAGACTAGAGTTCCCACATGCAAGGCTCAGCAGGGATCTCCAGGAGTGCGGTACACTGTGGAGCATGAGTGAAACTCACACACACAAGTGAAGCAAACTCCTCGTATAAAAACTCTTTGGTGGTCCCCACCTTGCACTGCAATGGCTCTGACTCCAATCCCTTGGGCACTGGTTAAAACCGCAGATTTCCAGGCCCCGCCCACAGAATGTCTGATCCTGGCGGGGCTCAGGATATATGCAGTGTAGACAGCTCCTCCCAGGGGACTGATTCAAGCAACACAGATCCACACCTAGAGAAACTGACTTAGAAGCTCAGCCTCAGTCACTCTTCCTAGCACTGGGGTCTCCACGCCCTGGTCCCCACTCCACCCTGGTGTCCTCTCCCATCTGCCCCCCCGCCATATGCTTCTCCACTAGTACCAGATGCTTGCAGTACCCTGTCCACATCCCGCTCTTTCCCTCTGCGTGGAACACCCTCCTTGTCCTTGTCTAATAATTCTCCATGTCCTTCGGGACTCTGGCTCGGGAGTCACCGCCTCCAGGAAGACTTCCTTCAGAACGCCCCTCCCCAGGCTTGGCTGCCAGCCCTCTTGTGTATCCCTACTACACTTGGCCCCCCACTCTTGCCTGTGTCTGACTCCCATTCTACCCCATGGATCTCAAAGCAGGCTGTTCAGTATAACCACGACAGAGCTTTAAACACAAACACACGCACATATACACAGAGCTGTCTAGGAGGCAGCCCAAACACAGACTCTGAATTTCCTAAATCTCCTTGGGGGGGCACTCTGAGCACCTGCACTTTCTAAGCCCCAGAATCGACCCTGACACAAGGCGCAGGTGTGATCCACTAACTCACTGAAAGCCTCCCCTACACCCAGCCCCCACTTGAGAGCCCTGCCTGGTTCACAAAGGCATTCCCGTGCCCACCAAGCTGAACTAGAGCAAACTAAAACTGGGAAAATCAAAGTTCAACTGCAAGGAGAGTAAAGTTTGGATTGAAAGCTTTATTGAAAATTTAAAAAGCACGAATACTGTGCACAACTTCTTACAAGTTAGCAGTAACAGACTTCAAAAAAGGATGTGAAAACTACTTCAACAGGCTTTTGCAATCAGATATGTAAAAAGCCTGTGGTTAGCTTTCGTGGCCAATTTCATCTTTTGTTTATTTACATACTGACAGGGAGTGACTTCATAGCTTTTTTATTTATTTTTTTTCATTTCAATTGCTTTTATGCTGCATTTATTCCAGCGCTTTAGTTTTGTGCTTTGCACCCTGGAGCAACTTCAGCAGGGGATGGGAGTTTGTTTTTATTTTTAAATTAGCATATAGTAAAACTGCCTTTCTGGTGGGCAGGTCTATGAGGTTTTTTGTTTTTGTTTTTTGCGGTACGCGGGCCTCTCACTGTCGTGGCCTCTTCCGTTGCAGAGCACAGGCTCCAGACGCGCAGGCTCAGCGGCCATGGCTCACGGGCCCAGCCGCTCCGCGGCATGTGGGATCTTCCCGGACCAGGGCACGAACCCGCGTCCCCTGCATCGGCAGGCGGACTCTCAACCACAGCGCCACCAGGGAAGCCCCAGGTCTATGACTATGAGTTTTAACACTCGTAGAGATTTGTGTAACTACCGCCACAATAAAGATACAGAACAGCCCATCTTCCCCAAACACGCCCTCATGCTGCCCCTTTGAAGCCACACCCTCCCCTAACTCCTGGCAACCAGTGACCTGTGCCCCATCACTCTACAGTCTTTTCAAGAATGCCATAAATCAAATTATACAATGTATAACCTTTTTCTTCCTCTTTCTATTGTGGTTAACACGTATAACATAAACTTTATCATCTTAACCATTTTTCAAGCCATCTTTAAGTGTACGTTTTACTGGTGTTACATATATTCATAGTGCTGTGCAGCCATCGCCACCATCCATCCCCATAACTCTGCTCATCTTGTAAAACTGAAACTCTACCCATTAAACAAAAACTCCCCATTCTCCCTTCCCTCCAGCCCCTGGCAACCACCACTGTACTCTATGTCTTTAAGTACATAACCTTTTGAGACTGGCTTCTCTCACTCAGCATTACGCCTTTGAGATCCATCCAAGCTGGTGCGTGCACCAACAGTTGGTCCCTTTTTATTGTAGAGCAGTATTCTGTCATATGGACATGGTATAGTTTATCCATTCATCCCCTTAAGGGCATTTGGGCTGTTTCCAGTTTTTGGCAATTATGAAGAGAGCTGTTATAAACACTCATGGGCAGGTTTCTGTGTGAACATAACTCTTCATATCTCTAGGGTAAACACCTAGGAGTGAGACTGCTGTTTAACTTTATACGAAGCTGCCAAACTGCTTTGCAAAGCGGAGCGCCACTTGCCTCCCACAGGTAACGCACGACCGTTCTTGCTGCTCCGCATTCTCATCACATGGTATTTTTTTTTTTAAGACATTCTAAGAAGTGTATAATGATATCTCATCACAGCTTTAATTTGCATTTCCCTAATGGCTAATAATGATGTTGAGCATCTTTTCATGTGCCTATTTGCCATTCACATATCTTCTTTGGTGAAGTGTCTCTTTAAAAAGTCTCATACCTATGTTTTAATTGTGTTGTTTGTTTTCTTAACTACTGAATTTTGAGAGTCCTTCATATATTTTGGATAAAAGTCTTTTCTTGCATATGTGATTTGCAAATATTTTTCCCAGTCTCTACCTGCTATTTCATTCACTTACCAGTGAGTGTCTTTTGTAAAGCAAAAGTTTTTACTTGTGATGAAATCCTTTTTTAAAAAATATTTATTTATTTTCCTTATTTTTTTGGCTGTGTCGGGTCTTAGTTGCAGCACACAGGATCTTTAAGGCATGTGGGATCTTTCATTACTGTGAGCTGTCTCTGCGTTGCAGTGCTCAGGCTTCTCTCTAGTTGTGGCACACGGGCTCCAGAGCACGTGGGCTCTGTAGTTTGCAGCACGCGGGCTCTCTCACTGAGGCGCGGGAGCTCAATAGTTGTGGACCCTGATGAAATCCATTTAATCATTTTTTTTCTTTCATGGTTCATGCTTTTGATGTCATCTCTAAGAACTCTTTGCCCAGTCTCAGGTCACGATATCTTCTGTTTTCTTCTAGAAGTGTTATAGGGACTTCCCTGGTGGTCCAGTGGTTAAGACTCCATGCTCTCAATGCAGGGGGCCCAGGATCGATCCCTGGTCAGGAAATTAGATCCCACATGCACGCTGCAACTAAGAGCCTGCATGCCTCAACTAAAGGATCCCTCATGCCACAACTAAGACCCGCCACAGCCAAACAAATAAATTTTAAAATAAATAAATAAAAAATAAAAGTGTTATAGTTTTACATTTAGACCTGTGATCCATTTTGAGTTAATTTCTATATAAGGCAGGAGATTTAGGTAAATTTTTTTTTTTTTTTTGGCAAATGGATGTCCAATTTTTCCAATAGTATTTGTTGAAAAGACCATCCTTTCTCTGGACTTCCCTGGTGGCGCTGTGGTTAAGAATCCGCCTGCCAATGCAGGGTACACAGGTTCGAGCCCTGGTCCAGGAAGATCCCACATGCCGCAGAGCACCTAGGCCCGTACGCCACAACTACTGAGCCTGTGCTCTAGAGTCCATGCGCCACAACTACTGAAGGCCGTGCACCTACAGCCTGTGCTCCGCAACAAGAGAAGCCACCACAGTGAGAAGCCCGTGCACCGCAACGAAGAGCAGCCCCCCCAGTCGCCGCAACTAGAGAAAGCCTGTGTGCAGCAACAAAGACCCAACGCAGCCAAAAATAAATTTTTTAAAAAAAGAGTATTTTAAATACTTCTGGTTACTTTAAAAAAAAGAAAAACAGACTATCCTTTCTCCATTTAATTACCTTTTGCACCTTTGTCAAAAATTAACTGGCCATACTCGTATGGGTCTATTTCTTGACTCTATTCTATTCCATTGATCTATGTGTCTATCCTTCCACCAACTCAAAGCTCTTGATGACCATAGCTTTATTAATCTGTATTTAAAATCTACATTATAACATCAGTTGGTGTGATGCCTCTAACTTTATTCTTTTTCAAAACTGTTTTGGCTATTCTAGTTCCTTTACCTTTCCATATAAATTTTAGAATCAGCTTGTATTTACAAGAAAATCCTGCTGGGATTTTGATTGGAATTGTTTCAAATCTATAGATCAATCTGAGGAGATGTGACATCTTCACTATATTGAATCTTGCAATTCATCAAACGGTATGTCTTTAAAAGTCCTTGTGTCTTCTTTATGGGACTTTAAAAACTCACACAACTTCACCACAAGGGCTAAAAAGCTACCAATGCCTACGAGCAGTCTTTGACAACAGAACATATGACTAAAATCTACTAATGGAAAAGGAACGGCAACAAGAGCTGAAATTCTGCCCAGCTCCCGATGATGCTGAGCATTTAACTCTTTCAGGTCAAGCTACAGGGAAATAAAACAAAACAAAACAAAAAACTGCTTCACAGTAACACAAAACTGTTTCTAGTTTTAATCCTGACCTGTCTCACTTTAAAGCAACAAAAATGTCTCTCTTAACATAAGTGTGAACTTCAGTCTTTGGAATCCACATATGACATTATGCAATGAGAGTATATTTGATTAATACATATATTCATTCAACAAATGTTTACTGAACATTTACAACAGGCTGGCATTACTCCAGGTGCTGTGGACACAGTGGAGAAAACAACCGAGGGTCCTGGCTTGAAACTTCCTTTCTAGGCAGAGAGACTTCAAACATGTAATACGATAAATAAACAAGGTACTTTTAAACAAGGAAACGTGCTGTGGAGAAAATACATCAGGGTAAGGGGACAGACAGTGGTGGGGAGGGCTCTTTCAGATGAGGTGGCCAGAAGAAGCCTCTCTGGGGAGGTGACCTCTGAGACAGACCTGAACGATTATGGAGCAGTGGCCATTTCAGAAAGTGGGTAAGGAGCCTTCCAAGCAGATGCAAAGACCCTGAGGTAGAAAATAGAATGACTTAGGTTTAAGGAAGTGTGAGGCTGGCGTGGCCTCTGTAGTGAGCAGCAGGGAAAGTGGCTTGCTCCTGCGTTTACACACATGCACGCACGTGTGTGCCCAAGTAAGGACAGTGTAAGGCCTTTAAGGCCACAGAAAGGAGTTCATTGCCAAGGAATTATACTTCAAGGAACAGATATTGCCAACCATCCCCTATGTCTTAGATCTGATTAATATACCTCCATCACCAAGGACCTCACAAAGGTCTCAGGCAACCTCGCAAGTAAATTTCCCAAAGAAGCTCCTTTTTCTAGGGTCTGCCTCCTGCCTCCAACTGGGAAGAAATTAAGCATAAGATAAGGCAGAGGCACAAAAGCATCTCCCCAACTAGGAGTGTCCCCTGTCCTGAAAAGATGGGCCAAGAAGCCAGTATTTGGCACCCCAAAATGTCCCAGCTGTTTTAAAGCATGGGAGGAGAAGACATTTATACTTTCTAGAATCCTGTCTGTGATTAAAACTGAGATTAAGATGGATTGAACTCGTCCTCTAATGTGAGATGAACAATATGAATGTGTTGCCCACGATGCAAAACCCGTCATCGATGCTGCAATCACAGTGCTTCCTCTGCCATTATCTAACTCCCGCAAGGGTCAGAGACAGGCTTCCGGGGACTTAAATCTTTCCAATAAATTCATACTTTCCAGAAAAAAAAAATATTACCCAAGCAACTTATGGGCCCACTCGGCATTGAGAAATACACTATGAAAAAGACTAGTACATTAGTCTTTCACAAGGAAGGAGATAAACTCAAAATGGATGACTGAGGAACTTGCCACATCAGTGTGTCGTGGCAGAGGAACAATTCATGTAAAAGCACTTCACGATGGGAGCTCACGAAGCTGCTCTCAGGAGCGGGCTGATGCCATGCTGGCTGCTGCAGCCATGCCCAGCTGACATGAGCGTAGCAAGCTCCCCAAACCAGAAAGACCGTGTGTCTGACAGTGGTCAACCTACTTAACAAGTACCTTATTCTTCAGAAAGTATTTATGCTTAGTGTCTGGATACTTCTACAGTGTTAAGTGCTTTTTCTGAAATTGGATTTTCATAATGTTGAGCTAGTAATATTTTGGAAATGCATTGTTTTAGTAATTGGCAATCAGTGTTTAGGTCAGTGGGTAAGTACTCCAGGGCTTAAGGGCAGTGTTTGTCCATTTCTGATAAAAACACTTAAGGAAACAGTCATTGACGGATATTTTCTTAATGTACCATTATATATATACTTCAGTCAGTCCTAATACCAGCATCTTACTTAGTGGGTAAACACAAAAGGCATTCGCATTAGGATCAGGAACAAAGCAAGGATACCTATAATCTCCATTACTTAATAATGAACTGGAGGTGTCAGCACATGCAATTAGACAAGGGAAAAGAAGGAGAGCATACGACTTGGAAAAGACGTACAGTCATCTCTATTTGCAGTTGATGTGATGGTATTTGGAAACCCTAAAGAATAAATAATAAAACTAACTCAGTATAGTTAGTTTTTATAAAACTAGTTATAAATAATTTAACTAACTCAGAAATAAATCAGTAAGATGGCAGGATACAAAATCAACACAAAAAATCAACAGCCTTTATATACTTAAAGAAAAGATGGGCATCTAGCCTCTACTTACTGTCAACTAAAATAACAAAGCCTTTTTCCTCTGAAGTTCTCTTGAGTCAGTTCCCCAAAACCACACTCCTGTAGAGGAGTTTTTTAAACTTAAATTTATATCGGTTGGATTATATCTTAATGCTTTCATCTCAGCCATCCAGCCTGTTGACATAGTTTTGAATCTCACCCTTTGACAGATTAACAATCTCACTCAGCTGTCTATCTTGTACAGATAAGGCCTGCTACAGAGTGTTCCAAATGACTTCTAAAAAACTGTGACCAGAAGAAAAAGCGTGGGAAGCTAACCCGCTTCTGACAGGAGGTGTCTGCACCAAACACAGAAGGGAAGTAACACCTCCGCCAAAGGTTTATGATACTTGAAAAGCCATATGTATTTTTGGAACCTCACATAAAGAGGCTACTGACCCTAGAGGTACAGTCACAGAAACAAGCACATACTTTAGAACAAACCAACTATTTATATATGAACCTTGCTGAGCGAAGTTCTCCTATTTCACATTGACATTCTTTAAACAATGAGTTTCTAGCCAACTTGCCTTGCTATTTAAATAAAGAAAGAAGAAATAAGAAAAAAATTACCCAAAAAGCATATTAAATAGTATCTACGGTAAGGCAGAGCCTCTCCCTTTCTGTCTTTCCAAGTCCTATCCACCCACAAAAGCCCAGCTCAAATCCCACTGGTGCCAGGGGCCCGTGTTTCCCAAACCTCAACCATCCACTCACCATCTTCAACAAATTATCCATTTCATGTTTTTTCTTTAATCTGCCATGTTTTCTTTTATTAAAATGACTTCATTTTGAATGTAAACTCTTCAGTATTATAAGTGGAAAACCATTATTACCTGCCAAATCTTGATGGTAATAAAAAAGGAAAACAAAACAAGGTTATTAAATTCTAGCTTAAGTCATGGGCTGCTGCACTCTGAGCTGAAGCCCTGTTCTCTCTGTTGAAATAAAGGGAGATTAGCAAGAACCAGAAAGGTGTTACATACGTACTAGGACCAAACCAAGTTTATCTCCTGATATCATCAGAAAGTTTCAAAGAGAACTAAAGAGCAAATAACCTCCACATGTAAGGATGCGTTTTACATCGGCATACACCTAACCACCTCACTGAATGTGTTCCAGGTTCTGGGAAAATACTGCCCAAGGCCTTGGGGCCCCTTCCCTGAGAAATGCATCCCGTGGCCTCACCGTGCATTCTGGGTACCTACTCACTGGCTATTAACTATTTGGCAACTTGTGGCAACTCTCAGGTTATAGCCTGGTATTGTTAATTGGCTACTTTATTTCACCGATTCAAAGACATGTATTTTCAACATTTTTAATATCGCTGAAGTTAGTGTGTTACAAGTTAATTAGCAGGGCACTTTCTTTCTTAGTAGTATATAAAATAATGATGTGTCCTTATAATCCATAGTGTCTTAGACCCAATGACATATGGGCAATTTCTCAGATACTCATGAGTGCTCCTTCAGCGACGGCCCTGCATGGAGTGCAGTCCCCACAGCAGCTCAAACGTTCAGTAACAAGCTGCCAGACAATTCCAGGAGGCGCCACCCGTGTGGGAGTGGGAGAGTATCTGGTCCTCCCTGATTTCAGCAGTGGCCCTCAAATCATTCTCACCCTGCTGTGGCCGGGTAAGCTTCAATTGTATTCTCCCCCTTCTGTCCACCGCCATCAGGGATTATCCATACCAAGCACTCATTGCTGATTCTATTAAAACCCACCAGACTGCCAACACTCTTGCTTCCTTCCTCCACGTTTCCGAACAGTTTTCGGAAAGGTCATGTATTTTCTACTCACACAAACCACCCACCCTTCCACCCCTGCACACACTGATGCACACTTTCTCCCACACCCGCAAATGCCAGGCCCACAGCACCAGCAGCAAGCGGTGCTTAGCGCCTGAACATGAGTCGTGAGAAGCTGAGAAAGGGGAGTCTCAGGCTTAGAGCCTCATAAACACATACAACAGTGAGTATGGCTCACTTAACTCTTTGATGGGTTACAAACTCATTTCTCACAAGAAAGAATCTGTTTCGAAAAGCCTAATTTTAACTTGATTTTCTGAGGGAGATTCCAAAATTCATATTTTGGTATAAATTTCTCTAGTTATTCAATTGTATTTAACCCATTAAGGGGGTCACACCTTGCACACATATATTTCAGCATCAGCACCTCACGTACACGTGACCATGTCACATAAAAATAGTCCATCAGGGCTTCCCTGGTGGCGCAGTGGTTGCACCAATGCAGGGGACAAAGGTTCGAGCCCTGGCCTGGGAAGATCCCACATGCCGCGGAGCAACTAAGCCCATGCGCCACAACTACTGAGCCTGTGCTCTAGAGCCCGCGAGCCACAACTACTGAAGCCCACACACCTAGAGCCCGTGCTCCGCAACAAAACAAGGCACTGCAATGAGAAGCCCGCGCACCGCGACAAAGAGTAACCCCCACTCACCGCAACTAGAGAAAGCCTGAGTACAGCAACGAAGACCCAACACAGGCAAAAATAAAATAAATTAATTAATTAAAAAAAAGTAGTCCATAAAAGTCCCCACAGAGACTCATCTCAAACTCCTGGGCAGCAGAAATAGACAAAAGCATGATTCCAAGTTCGGGCCACAGCCTGAATATCAAATTATAGTATGAAAAGGCCGAGTGTTTTTGTGGCGGAAGCACCCGGATTACTTAGAAGCAAAAAGGAAGCTCAGAAAGAGAGAATCATGCCCTCAGCAAGATGACTCTGGGTGGGGGTAGCAGTTCTTTCTCTCCAAAAAGGCTAAAACACCCCGATGCCTCCTGCCATCTCTATCTTTCAGAATGACCCCCTTTTCCTTCCTCACTTCTCTGGGACCGACCCCACTCCTGGCCCCCACCTCTTTCACTAGGGTTTCCATCAAAGGTCCTCTATGTTTTCATCACAAATATAGCACTAATACATTTTAAAGGGGCTACTAATAATTGTGGAGCTTACCGTGTGCTGGAGCAGCTGGACCACATTCTGACGGCATATGAGACAGTTGTAGGTGATGGTCTAAAGGATGTTTTTATTTTAAGGCTATGTGTTTATTTTAACATACATTAGAAGAAAAATATATGGCTAGGACCTGTGATTTCATAGATATAATTGCTCAGGAAAAATTTGATTTCAAGTTGACTTTTTAAATAATTAAGTAAATAGTAGTTTAGGCAAAATTAAACTCTTGATTCTCCCTGCCCCCAGGGCACGCCTCCTCCAGGGCTCCCCACCTCAGTAAACAGCACCACTGTTGTTCCAACCAAAACCTTGTAGTCCTTCTCGACTCTTCTTCCTCTGTCACACGCCTCACACTTGATCTGTCAGCAAACCGTATCAGCTCTTCCCCCCAAACACAGCCAGAACTGGGTCCTTCTCACCACCCTTCTTCCGTCACTCTGACCGAGCCTCTGTCGTCTCACACCTGGGCAACGGGGAGCACCACGCAGCAGGTCCCAAGCTTCCACTCTGGCCGCTCAAACGCCTGCCTCTCGACAGAAGGCTCTTTCTCCAGCCACGAATCAGATCACTTCACGCCCCTACTCAAACCCACCCTAGAGTTTCACATCACACTTAGCACAGAATCCAAAGCTCACATCAGGATCCACAAGGCTCCCTCGGACCTCGGCTTCTACTACTCCCCCAACATACTCCACTCCAGCCTGACGCTCCCCTAATAGGGGAGCCTTTGCACCCCTGTTTCCTCACGCAGGAATACTCCCTCCCACATCGCCCACCTCATCTCATCAAACGTTCAACTGTCTTCCCCAACCACTCTGTCTAAAACAGGCCCTTCACCCCCCTGTCTGTGAATCCGGCCTATTCTTCCTCGCAGCACCCCTATGTTATATTCTGGATATTATTATATCATATATAATCTGTACTTCTTTCTGTTTCCTATCTCACTCACTAGAACATAAGCTTCACGAGGGCAGGGTCCCCTGCATCTACACAGTGCCTGCCACATACTGAGTACTCAGTGACGTTTAAGGGAATGAACCGTAGGCCTTCATTCACATCAGGACTGAAGGTGGAGCTTCATGGCTGGAGGTAACCACACCAGGCCAGGAGTGTAACACGTTCATTTAATACTAACAACACTCCTGGGAGTCCTCTCGGGTGGGGAAACCAAGGTTCAGGGATGTTAAGTGAAAAATCAAGGTTTAGGGATGTTAGTGAATTGCCCAAGGTCATACAGGACCCGTGAGCTATTTTAACAGGCTGTGAAGGGCCCAAGTTCTTTTGAAGCTACTTCAAAAGCTCATCTTTTCTTCAAAAGACCTTTTAAGGTACTACACTACCTGGGGAGCAAAGGTGAAACTCCTCAGGATGACATTCCACGAAGCACTCTGCCATCTTGTCCCTGGCACTCCCTCCCAGCACCATGACAGCAGATCCCCAGCCCCTCCTGCACTGACCTGGTCAAATTAGGCCATCTGCAGCCCCTCAACACATTGACACTAGAGTGCCTTACACATCACATTAGTGATACAGGCTCCTTCTCCCACGCAGGACTGCAAATGCAGTGGGGGTGGACACCTACCTTATTTATCTTCGTATCCCCAGGCCCAGTAACTACAGGCCAGCAGATCTCATAGCCACCTGCTGAATGACGGTGTCTGAGCTACTCTCACCGGACTCAGGACAGTGGACGGCAGGCCAAGCCCAGCACACCGTGTGGACCCTTGGATGCCCTGTGAGCAGAGATGTCTTGATCATCATTAGCGTGGGACGGGTCTGGTGTGGACATCCCTATCATCCCTTTGCCTTTCATCACAGTGCTATGTGCTTAAAGCTAACCATCCAACTTTAAAAGATTGCACACGTTCTGGAGCTAGCAATGCTCGCCTCTGTCTAACCTGAGTCCCCTGGGCTCCATCACACCGATAAGGGAGGGAAGCTGGTAGCCACTCTCCTCAGCAAGCCACGTCAGCCTATGACAGTTAACCACACCGGCATCTGCCACAACCCACCCAGTATTTCCGGAATGTTTACTACACTGGGGACATTTACATAAGGGCCCTGCCCTCCTACAAAGCAGAGGGCCAGGCCTACCTAACCAACTCAAGGATAAGGCCAGGGCTTCCCTGGTGGCGCAGTGGTTGGGAGTCCGCCTGCCGATGCAGGGGACACGGGTTCGTGCCCCGGTCCGGGAGGATCCCACATGCCGCAGAGCGGCTGGGCCCGTGAGCCATGGCCGCTGAGCCTGCGCGTCCGGAGCCTGTGCTCCGCAACGGAAGAGGCCACAACAGTGAGAGGCCCGTGTGCCGCAAAAAAAGAAAAAAAGGATAAGGCCAAACTGCCAGGCAGTAGTAAAATAAAGGGACAGCCAAAGGTGTGGAGGGGAAGAGAGCATTCCCCACTGGGAAAAGCTGGGAATTGCCGTCCTGGAGGAGCAATTTCAAAGGGAGTCTACGCAAAGCCTCTCATTAGATTACAGCAGTGAAGGCCACCCTTACCCACTGGTTCCAATGCTTCAAGTCCCCTTAGGGCAGTAGGGCCAAGACGTGCTGCATTTCTGTAAAGTCAGGGCTGAGCACTGAACCTGGCCTCAAATGCTTTACTCATTATTTTATAAACAATTTATTGAATGCCCAGCACCTAGTGATGGGAGGTGCTGGTAACACTATCCAGTGTTCCCCTCTCTTCAAGTTCACTTTCCAGTACAGGAGGCAGACAAGTCCGCAGGCAAGTACAACAGACCGCCATGTCTGAGGAGGACCCAGGGGACCAGCAACCTGCCCTTGGTCCATGGTGCCAACACGCATGTGCATCTGTGTATATGTGTGTCAAAAGGATGCAGGTGCTGGAAGATACCAGTGACAATCCCATAAGGGTCCAGACGGGGGGGAGGTGGGAGGGGGGAGCCTCAAGACAATCCTCCCACTGCCTGCTCTTACCTAATGGATAAGGAAACTGAGACTGAGGGAAGCACAGTGAGTTACAGCCAGGACCAGAACCCAGTCATTCCCTCCGTATAGCCTAGAGGTTAAGAGGGTTTCTGGAATCAGAATCCCTGATTTTAATCCTGCCTCTGCCACTTACCAGCTGTGTGGCCTTTGGCAAAAGACCACCTCTCTGTGCCTCAGTTTCCTCATCTGTAAAACAGGGAGAATTACAGTACTTGTCTCACGGGGCTGTTATGAAAAATTAAACTTAGAAATATAAAGCTATTGGCACAAAGCCTGGGATATAGTAAGCGATACACAACTGGGTGCTGCTGCTATGATGATTCCTATCGCACGACCCGCCCAGGGCCTGGGGTAGGCTCGCTACCCCGGCTCTCTCGGCGGCCGCGCGCCACTGTCCCTGCAGGCTCCAGAACGCTAACCTCCACGCGCCCTTGAAGCTCGCGGCCGCTGGACCGCGAATCCGAGCCCCCGACGGCCCGGCCGGCAACGCGCACGCGCGGCACGCACCCGGGGTCGGGAATGAGCGGGGGCCGGCCCGGGAAAGGGGAGGGCGGCGGCCACACCCTGCCAGGGACGGGGAGGCGACCAAAGGCGGAGAAGGAGCCGCGCTTGCACCCGACAGGTCTCCCCGGGCTCCCAACCCCCATCCCGAAGAGCGAGTGGGTTCCTCACACTCTGCAGCAGACTCCTCCTCTGTGCCGCCATCTTGGAGGGACCCCCGCGAGCGCGCCCGCCTCCCGGCAGAGCAGGCGAGAAAGGCGGCTAGAGCGGCCCAAAGCCGGCCAGGAGGACCGCGCTGCCAGGGAGCTTGAGCCCAGCGCCACCCTACGGCCGAAGTAGGATGCGGCCGTAGGGAAGCGAGTGCGCAGGCGCGCTCTCCCACCATTTCTCCCGTAAGAGATAAAGGGAAGGACGGCTTCCTTATGTAGTAGCCCCTCTTCATCTTTATTTACAGAACTTTCTTCAGGATCCCTTTCAGGTGGGGCTCCTAAGACCCTGGATTAGGGTACTTTATGAGCACTATGGGGGCGGGAGAGGGCGAATTATTCATTCACTCAATAAATACTCATTGGGTGACTGTGCCTGGCCCTTTGGGGTGAAGCAGCAAGCAAGACAGGCCCTCCAAAAGCTAACATGTTAATTGGGAAGGACAACATTTACATACGTAAGTCATTTCGAATGCTGCTGCTTACTGGGAAGGGAGTTTATGCATGTGGCAGGCGTGGCGGTGTGGCAGGTAACTGGCGACGAGGAAGGGCTGGAGGGGACAGCTAGTGCACAAGGCACGAGGAAAGGGAGCGGGTGGGTTCAGGAAGCATGGGTGTCACCGAAGGCCGCTGTGGCTGGAACAGAGATGGAGGGGGAGTGAGGTGAAGGGGGTAGGGGGCAGGCTCTGACCTTGCTAGCCCCAGGCAGGAGTTGGGCTATTTGTCTGGAGGACAAAGGAAAGTTGTTGACTTCTGAGCAAGCCATTGACATGACCCTGTTGGTAGAAAGATCCCTTTGACTACTGTGTACAAAATTGGTGTTTAGAAGAGGATTGGCGTGGAGACAGAAAGACTAATTAGGAGAATGTTGTACTGGATCCAGGCAACAGTCCCTAGAGTGGCTTGTGTCAGCTGATGGTGGTGAACTTTATTTAGGAGATGAAATCGTCAGGGCTTGACCATGGATTGGTTGTGGGTGATGATGGGAAGAGATGTGTCAAAGATTCTCCCAGATTTCTGGCAAGAACAACTAGGTCTGAGGAGAGGGAGAATGTTCATTTTCGACATGTTGGGTTTTTCTGGCTGTGCAGCGTGGCTTGTGGGATCTTAGTTGCCCGACCAGGGATTGAACCCCGGCCCTCGGCAGTGAAAGCGCAGAGTCCTAACCACTGGACCGCCAGGGAATTCCCTGGATATGTTGAGTTTGAGTTGCTTTTGAGACATGCAAGAAAAGAAGTCAGATCATTCCTTAGAGAAGACTAGAGCTCAGAGCAGCGGGTTAGTAAGCAAAGCCAACAGACAGTGAGCAGCTAGAGAGGCAGGGGGAGCAGAGGTGGCACAGAACCCAAGATGAGGGGGGCATGGGCGGCAACATGACATGCTTTTGAGAGATCCAGTTAGAAGGTAACCGAAGAAAGCCTGTTAGATTTAGCTGTCTGGAGGCCCTTGGTCCAGGCAATTCGGATGGAATGGTAGGACAGAAACCCAGATGCAGTGAGTTGAGGAATGGCTGGTAAATGGAGACACAAAGACCTTGAGAATAGGTGGTTCTTCCCAGTTGGTGGGAGGGAACATGGGTTTGAGAAGAGTTTTTTCTTTTAGGTTGGGAGAAACTTGAGCCTGTTTAAATGCTGAAGGAAAGGCTTAATAGAGAAGAGCTGATATTCAGAAGAGGGAAGAAGGAGGCAGTCTAGGACTGGGATGGTGATTCACCATCTTGCTGTCCTACCAGCACAGCTTCACGTGGCCCAAGATGACTGCTTGAGCTCCAGTCATTTAGTCTGAGTTCATCCAGCAGGAAGGAAAAAGAAAGGTAGGAAGGTGGCATTTGCTTCCTCCTTTTTTTTTTTTTTTTTTCAAATCAACATTTACTTGCAAGCAATCTCCCTTCCCTTTTAAGGAGACTTTAGAGGTTCCTCCTGATGCTTCTTCTTACATCTGAATGGCAGTAACCTAGCACCATGGCCATATCTCACTGAAAGGGAGGTCAGGAAATGAAGGCTTTGGACTGAACTACAAAGTGACCAACTACAGTTTCTGTTACTGAAAAAAGATTGGGAAATGGATACCAGGAGCTTATGTGCAGTCTCTGCCATGAATGGGGTTGCTGAGGCCTGGTGGTTTGTCTGTTGAGGAAGAGTCTGGAAAGAATTAAGATTTGGAGTCCAGCCCACTCCATTCTAATTCCGGCTCCATATCCTGTCGCCTGTGTGACCTTGAACAAGCCACCTGCCCTCTCTGAGCCTCAGTATCCTCCTCTGTAGAATGAGAGTGATAATCTACCTGACAGAATGACTGCAAGGATTAAATGAGATGCCACGGGGAGACCTGACCTGTGGTAGGTGCTGATGTTTGTTACATTCAGAGTAAACTTTAATTTTTTAAAAGAGAATAAACACGCATCGAGCACCTACTGGATGCCAGGAACTTGTTGGATGTTTTTTCATCATACACTTATTTACTTCTCACTCCAACCTGGTGAGATAGGTATTGTAATCTCCTAATTTATAAAGCAGGAAACTCCAATTCAGCAAGTCATCCAACATAGAAATGTCAGGATTTTGAACTCAGGTCTGACTCTGCAATGTTGTGATATAATCAGACATGTATATTTCATCTTCGTCCCAGTTCTAGCGCAGAGCTTCCGAAAGGGTTTTGAAATTTCCTGACAGAGGTGATAGGAGCATCTTTTGTTTGTCGTAACGAGCAGCTTTCCACTGTACTGGAGTTTACGGTTAATGAATGACTGGTGTCTGGAGGCCCCTAGATAACTTCAGGTTGGGGGTTAATCGCAGAGGGACCAACCTTGTGATTAGAGGATCGGAACTTTCAGTCCCCCTCCCCCTGCCCCAGGGAGGGGAGAGGGGCCGGAAATTGAATTAATCGCCAGTGGCCAGTGATTTCATCAATCACGCCTATGTAATGCAGCCTCCATAAAAACCCTGAACGAAGGGCTTTGGAGAGCTTGAATTGTGAGTACATGCAATTCCTGGGAGCGTGGTACACCCCAAACTGGGGAACCACACACTTGGTGTCAGAAGTGTCCTGCTGGGGCTTCCCTGGTGGCGCAGTGGTTAAGAATCCGCCTGCCAGGGCTTCCCTGGTGGCGCAGTGGTTGAGAGTCTGCCTGCCGATGCAGGGGACATGGGCTCGTGCCCCGGTCCGGGAAGATCCCACAGGCCGCGGAGCAACTAAGCCCGTGCGCCACAACTACTGAGCCTGCGCTCTAGAACCCGTGCACCACAATTACTAAGCCCACGTGCCACAACTACTGAAGCCCGTGCGCCTAGAACCCGTGCTCTGCAACAAAAGAAGCCACCACAATGAGAAGCCTGTGCACCACAACAAAGAGTAGCTCCTGCTCGCCACAACTAGAGAAAGCCTGTGCGCAGCAACGAAGACCCAACGCAGCCAAAAACAAACAAAATTTAAAAAAAAAAGTGTCCTGCTGTTGTGGGTAAAAACACGTTAGTAGGAGACACCAAGGCCTTTCCTGGCAACCAGTGAAGTAAGCAGACCTGCCAAGGCCCTTCCCAGCTAAGCCTCGGCATAACTTCTTCAAGTTTCTCAGACAACCACGTGTTTCCTGCCTCCGTCTTTGTCCCTGTTGTTCCCACACTTGCCTGCCCGGTGAACTTCTGCTCCATCTTCAAGACCCTTAGCAAATGAAAGCCCTTGACATTTTTCTTGATCCTGTAGGGGAGGAAAAATTTCCCTCTGCCCTTCTAGGTTCTCTTTGGCTGGTCTAATATAATTAAATTGGCACAAGACAGACCAACAGGAGAAAAACAATCAAATTTAATTTCGAACGTCCAGGAGCCCCAAACATATGAAGCTCAAAGAAGTGACTAAAGCAGGCAGCTTTTATACCTTGTAGGCAAAGAAACAATTACTTGTGAAGATCTGACAACACGGAAGCCTTTTTGCTTGGGGTAGCAAATTGATGAAGAAGTGACAAAGTTTGTTTATACAGCCTTCTTGGCCTTGAGACCTTGAATTTGCTATCTCTGGCGATAAGGATGCCTTCCCTCCTCCTGGTAGAGGGTATCTTCACATGGGAGATTTATTTCCTGCTTTTTCAGGGGGACAAAGGAGGGTAAGCATGTTCTTGCACCAGCTGTTTCCCAAGAAACTTTAATTCAAAATAATCAATATGCCAGAGTGGCATGTTTGGAGGTGGCCTGCCCTGAACTCCATCAATTCCCTCACCAAGAATCACTCCCTCAGTCACTTGTTGATCATTTAAAACCACAGGGCTTCCCTGGTGGCGCAGTGGTTGAGAGTCCGCCTGCCGATGCAGGGGACACGGGTTCGTGCCCCGGTCCGGGAAGATCCCACATGCCGCGGAGCGGCTGGGCCCGTGAGCCATGGCTGCTGAGACTGCGCGTCCGGAGCCTATGCTCCGCGGCGGGAGAGGCCACGGCAATGAGAGGCCCGTGTACCGCAAAAAAAACCACAGTTATTGTTTGGAGTGACCTTTCCGAGGACAGGAACTATGGCATTTCAGCTCTGGGTCTCCTCGTAGGCCCTGGGGAAGCTTCTCAGTGACTGTGTGTGTCATCAAATTAATTGAAGAGTCAGAGATGAATGGATACATTGGTAGATGAGGCAAGTGGGGGACAGGCAGTCCCAAGGTCCCCAAGTGACTTACAGGGGAGCTGGGACTAGACTTGGGGCTTCTAGATAACCCCCCAATGCCTCTTTCCACCCCTGACCCCCTAACCAATGCACCATGATGGATCCTTTTTCCAAAATTCCTCGAGTCTGATCTTCCAGGGAGCAAAAAGACGCTGGGCTCAGCATGGCACTTGGGAGAACAAGCATTAAGTCAGCGCCTCCTGTTTGCAGGACACTGAGCTCCCAAGGGGTAGGGGTGGATCCAAGGAAGTCCGCTGGGGACAGGCCCCCTTCTCTGGGGTCACCGTGCCTGGGAACCAAGCTGTAAAGTGGATCCTGTTTTCCCCAGGACAACCCTGTGGGTCAGGGTTTGCCATCAGTCCAAGTCATGCTTCTGCCAAGGAACAAAGATGTCACAACTGCTGACCTTGATAACTGTTTAAATGGCCAGAGCAAGCTCCAGGTGCCCAGGTGGACAAGCCACCTGGCGGGGACAAGGGCCCTGATGCACAGTGAAGCACACACATGGCCCGGGACATCAGATAACTCCATGCCACCACACCGTGGCCTTTCCAAACCCCCAACAGCAGAAGAACAAACAGCCATGTAGCTCGTTGGCCACCTTCTGGGAACTGAGAAAGGCTGTGCCTGGGGGTTGGATCCGCCCTTTGTCATGAGGTCTTCAGCAAGGCTTTCTATGGCTCCAGCAAGCTCCCCATGGAGCCAGGAGATGCCATCAGTCCTTTGTTCAGCCTCACACACAGCCCTGCAGCGCATCTGGTTTGCAGGTAACAGCTTGGAAAGGTGCTGTTGAAGACGCTGAAGAATACTTGGAAGAGAGAAGAGCAGATTCGCCCACATCCCAGCACCCTCATCCTCACCTTCCTTTCTGCCTTCTCCGTTCTGGCTGGGAACCCAGGCAGGTATCTGGCCTGGTCGCCAAGAGAGAGTGCAGAGGCCACCCTGGGCTGGGCTCTCTGCCTTTCTGGGCTTTTCTTGGTCACAAGCATTTTTCCATGGGACTGTGTGGTCTTCATACTGACCATCTGAAAGGATGCATCAGAGTCCTTTGAGCACCCCCTCATTTTCAGATGTTAGCTGATAAGCGTGTTTCCAGTTGGGGGCTATTATAAACAGCTTGGCAGCAGTCATTCATATGATTGAAAACCATTCATTAAATTTCTTAGAGAAGCACAGTGAAATACATGGCGGGGGGGGGAGGGAATGATTTGCTTTACAATTTTAGCAAAGGGGAGAAAAGAAAACAAGGGGAGAGAGATAGAACCAGTGGGACAAAATCAGTATAATCTGGGGTGATGCGTGAATGGGATTTTATGGTGCTGTTCTCTCCCTTTTTTGTGTAGGTTTGAAATTTTTCATAAGAAATTAAAAATAGAAATGTAAACACAGTTCCTGCCCTGAAGGAACTCACAGTCCTGTGAGGAAACAGACAAGGAACCAGACCCTGGCAGAGCAGTATAGCATGGGGCTAGGGGACCCGGAAGAGGGCCACCTCCTCTGACTTAGGAAATCAGGGAAGGCTTCCCAGAGGAAGTGACATCTTAGCTGAGGCCTGAAGGATACATAGGAGGTGGTCAAATGATATGGAAGGGAAGGGTGTTCCAGGCAGAGGTACCTGCAAGAGCATACAACTGGTAGAGAAAGAAAGGTGGCAGCTAAAGCCTGAAGCGATGGTCTGTCTGGTTTCAGTGCTGGTGAGGCTGAGCCAAAGCTGGAGCAGAGGCAGGGGCAGGACCAGCGGTGCTTCATGAACCATAAGTGTCTGGGGGCCTCCAGGTGCCTGGCAGCTGGGGAAGGATGTGATCAGATCTGGATTTGAGGCCGATCGTTCTGATCTCTGTGATTCCTGGGCGCGGGGTGGATTGTGGGTGGTGGAGAAGGCCCCAGGCGTCCTCACGTTCGCAGCTTTACTTTCCCCTGAATTACTCCTTTAAGATCATTTCCAGAATGCTCACCCCCACGTCGTGCTTTCAATTTCTCTGTGCACTACTGCTATCTTCACTTTGGTTTACCTCTTCAAAGATGCTGTGACCTCTTTGAAAGCCGGGACTAGGTTTTACTCATCTCTGCAACCCCAGTGTTTCGCACATAGCAGACACTAAATAAATGCTTTGTGAATGAATGAACTTTTATTGAGCACGTACCAAGTGCCAAGCACTTTTCTCAGTGCTTTACACATATTACTTCGTGTGCAGGGTTGTCATAACCACTCCCGTGGAATGTGTTACTATTACCCCTGTCTGGGATATGCCGTCAGACCATGATGCAGGTCTAAAGGTCTGACTCCTGGGGGTGGGGGGGGGCGGGGGGTTGAGTGAGAAGGGCCTCAGATGGCAGGTAGTGCAGTCATAGGAAAGTGTCAGTCAGGTGACCTGGAGAGTCCTGGTTAAAGGCGTCCTGTGTCTCGTGGGGACCAGCCCGAGTTAGCTCCCCTCTGCTCAGTCACTAGTTAGGAGCAGTCCATTCCTGCAACCTCGGCAGGAACATGAGGGTGGATCTGGAAAGGCAGCAGCTGGAGCCGTCTGTCAGTGATATGCACAATCCCTATTTTACAGTCATGAAAAATGAAGCCCAGAGAAGTTAGGTCACTTGCCCAAGGTCACACAGCTAGGAAGCAGTGGAGCTCCTTTGCTTCAAGGGCTGTCTTTGTGACCCCCTACTTCATGACAGTGTTGTTATGGGTTGAATCGTGTCCCCCCAGATTCATGAAGTCCTAATCCCCAGTACCTCAGAATGTGACCTTATTTGAAAATAGGTCGTTGCAGTTGTAATATGTTTTGTTTTGTTTTGTTTTGGCCGTGCTGCATGGCATGTGGGATCTTAGTTCCCCAATCAGGGATCGAACCCACGCCCCCTGCAGTGGAAGCACGAAGTCTTAACCACTGGACCGCCGGGGAAGTCCCAGATGTAATATGTTAATATGTGATCATACTGGAGTCAGGTGGGCCTCTAATCCAATATGACGGTGTGAATTCCTCTCTAAAGTGGAGCCATAATACCTACTTCACAGTGTTGTGGGTTCACAACACACGGGGGAATGTATGCAAAGATGTCCAAACTGGGAAAGGCAAGGTGGTGCTCTTATTACAGAGAGGGAGACTGAGGCCCAGGGAGTTCAAGTGACAGCTAGAATGTGGCAGAGCCAGGAACTTAACGCAGGCCCCTTAGAGCCCCGGGTGGATCTGACTTCCTCTGGTCCCTGCCAACCCCTGGAAATGGCCCAGCGTGACAAGAGGAAGCCAACTCCTGCAGGAATGTGCCCCGGCCCCCAGCCAGCAGCATGACCGAGGCTGGGATCCTTCCCCGGCTCGGTTCCAGCTCCTGACCATGGCCAGGTGCTCGCGGACAACACCATGTCCTGTGGCTCCTGTCCCTGCCTCCTGTGGCTCAACCCTCTGGAGGATATCTGTGCGGGGGACTCCTCTGGCCAGCCACCCCCAGGGCCCAGTCGTGACCTCCCTCCTGCATCTGCCCCTCAGCTCTGTCTGTGGAGACTCCTGGCTTCCGAGCCGTCCAAGGGAAGCAGATCCTCCTTGAGTCCAGCCCGGTGCCACCAGGCTGCCCATCTGCAAGCTGTTTCCCCACCTGGCAGCTCCTGGAGACAAGGCCTCTCCTTTCCGGCACTCCAGACCCCTCCCTGAGCACCCCAGACCCCAGACCCCCAGTGCCCACCCCAGGCTTCAGGAGCCCAAAGGAAGGGGAGTTTGCTGGAAGACGGTCAGAGCTGACAAAGAAAAGGGCAAAAGGTGTCTTTCCTGAGCATCCAGAGGGCTATGGAAAAAGAAGGACCGGTGTTTGAGTCTCAGCTAGAACACTGCTAGCTGCATGGCCCTCCATCCAGCCACTCATTCAACAAATACCTACCTAGCACCTACCGTGCATCAGACCCTTAGAGAGGGCGGTATATGCACGACTCTGGACTCGGACAGACCTGGTTCAAGTCCCAGTTCAGCCCTTTACTGTGTGACCTCAGATGAGTAGTTTAACCTCTCTGAGCTTTCTTTGTCTCATCAGTTAAATGGAAGGAATTTTACCATCCTCTTTTCAGGATTGCTGGGAAGATAGAATAGACATCGGTAAGGAGTTTTGCATGCACCTGGCACCCAATGAGTACTCCATAAATGGCCTTGTTGCTGCTATAGAAGGTGCTGGAGGTTGAAAGGTAAGTAACGTGGAGCCCCTGCCCTTGAGAAGCAAATGGAGAGAGAGAGATGAACCTGAATCAGTGATTAGTAAAAACACACCCTGGGTTTGGCGTAGAAGGACAGACACGCTGGATGGGGTGGGGGCGGGGAGGAATAAAGAGGATGGAGAATCCAAAAGGCTTCCCGGAGGAGGTGCCCAACCTTAGGGAATTCAGCTAACTTCTCTAAACATCTCATCAATTGTTTATTTTCTTTAATGAGTAATTCTTAGGCAAAACTGTAGTCACCAAAAGCAGGTCAGTAGGTACCAGGGGTGCAGGGAAGCAGTTGGATAGCACTGTACATATTATTTTATAACCTGTTTTTTCCACTGAATATAATTTTAATGTTTTATTTCATTATTCTTCTATAATAAAGTTCTTATTTCCCTCATGGTATTCCATTGTAAAGATACAACCAAGATTAATTAACCAGTTTCCCTTGCATGATGTCTTGGTTGTTTCCTGCTCCTCAGGATTCAACTCCAGGTTGCATGGTGTATCCCTGTAGGCCAAGATTTCTTAACCTTCTCTGTGCAAGAGAGCCCCTGGCCACCAGGAGAAGCCTGCCACCCCCCAAAATAATATTTTAAAATGCATAAAATAATATACCAAAGTTTGCAAAGGAAACCAATTATCCTGAAACACATTTATCAAAATATGTTTTAAAATTGGGCTACAGCAGTCCAAAGAAGGTGTGAGACCCATGGAACAGAGCAGCCCACGGGTCTTCAGGCTGGCTGTGGCCTGAAGCACCCAGCCCCACCCAGCCCTGCCCAGCCGTGATCAGCTGAACCCCGCAACACCCACAGATGTGTGAGTTTATTTTAAACCACTGAGTTTTGGGACTTCCCTGGTGGAGCAGTGGCTAAGACTCCGCACTCCCAAGGCTGGGGGCCCGGGTTCGATCCCTGGTCAGGGGACTAGGTCCCGCATGCATGCTGCAACTAAAAGTTCGCATGCCACAACTAAGGAGCCCATGTGCTGCAACTAAGGAGCCCTGGAGCCTCAACTAAGCAGCCCACCTGCCGCAACTAAGACCCAGCACAACCAAATAAATAAATAGAAATAAATATTAAAAATAAATAAACGACTGAGTTTCGGAATAGTGTGTTACACAGCAAAGGCTAACTGATAACAGTGGGGGAGGATAGTCTTCCTACAGAAAGCATCACCTACGCTTATGATTAAACCTGGAGCAGAAATGGCAAATAAGCATAAGAAAAGATGCTCCACATGTCTTTGGGGAACTGCAAATTAAACAACAATGAGTTACCACTACATACTTATTAGAATGTCTAAAATCCAAAACACTGGCACCACCAAATGCTCGCAAGGATGTAGAACAAGAGGAATTTTCCTTCATTGCTGGTGGGAATGCAAAACGGCACAGACACTTTGGAAGACAGTTTGGTGGTTTCTTACAGAGTTAAACATAGTTTCACAATATGATCCAGCAATTGCGCACCTTAGTATTTATCTAAATGAGTTGAAAATTACATCCACACAAAAACCTGCACGTGGATATTTATAGAAGCTTTATTCATGATTGCCAAAACTGAAGCAACCAAGATATCCTTCAGTAGATGAAGGGATAAAGAACTGTGGGAATCCAGACAAGGAAATATTATCAGAGATAAAAAGAAATGAGCTATTGGGACTTCCCTGGCGTTCCAGTGGTTAGGACTCTGCACTTTTCACTGCTGTGGCCCGGGGTTCAATCCCCAGTCAAGGAATTAAGATCCTGCAAGCCGCACAGCACGGCCAAAAAAAAAAAAAGAGCTATTAAGCTTCATGAAAAGACGTGGAGTAACCTTAACTGCATATTGTTAAGTAACGAAGCCAGTCTGAAAAGGCCACGTACTGTATGATACCAGCTATATGACACTCTGGAAAAGGCAAAACTAGACACAGTAAAAAATCAGTGGTTCCAGGGGTTCAGGAAGAGAGAGGAAGGGAGGAATAGGTGAAGCACAGGGCATTTCTAGGGCAATGTAAATATTCTATATGGTACTGTAATGGTGGATACGTGACATTATGCATTTGTCAAAACCCATAGAATGTGCAGCATAAAGAGTGAACCCTGATGTAAACTGTGGACTTTAGTTAAGCATAATGTATCATTCATATATACAATGAAATACTACTCAGCCATAAAAAAGATTGAAATAATGCCATTTGCAGCAACATGGATGGGCCTAGAGATTACCATACTAAGTGAAGTAAGTCAGGAAGAGAAAGATAAATACCATTTTATATCACTTATATGTGGAATCTAAAATATAACACAAATGAACTTATCTATGAAACAAACAGACACACAGACATAGAGAACAGACTTGTGGTTGCCAAGGGAGAAAGGGGGTGGGGGAGGGAGGGATTGGGAGTTTGGGGTTAGCAGATGAAAACTATTATATATAGAATGGGTAAACAACAAGGTCCTACTGTACAGAGCAGGGAACTATATTCGATATCCTGTGATAAACCATAATGGAAACGAATATAAAAAAGAATATATATATATATATGTATAACTGAATCACTTTGCTGTACAGTAGAAATTAACACAACTGTACTTCAACAAAATAAATTTTTTAAAAGTAGTAATAATAATGCATCATTATTGGTTTAACAATGGTAACCAATGTATCAGTAATGCAGGACATTAATAATAGGGTAAACTCTGGGGGCAGTGAGATGAGAAGTATGTGGGAACTTTCTGTATTTCCTGCTCAATTTTTTTTTTTTTTTCTTTTTTTTTCCCGGTACGCGGGCCTCTCACTGTTGTGGCCTCTCCCGTTGCGGAGCACAGGCTCCGGACGTGCAGGCTCAGCGGCCATGGCTCGCGGGCCTAGCCGCTCCGCGGCATGTGGGATCTTCCCGGACCGGGGCACGAACCCGTGTCCCCTGCATCGGCAGGCGGACTCTCAACCACTGTGCCACCAGGGAAGCCCAATTTTTGTTAACACTCTTTAAAAAATTAATTTATTTATTTTTGGCTGAGTTGGGAATTCGTTGCTGCACACGGGCTTTCTCTAGTTGTGGCGAGCGGGGGCTACTCTTTGTTGAGGCGCGCGGGCTCAGTAGTTGTGGCTCACAGGCGCTAGAGCGCACGCTCGGTAGTTACGGCTAATGGGCTTAGTTGCTCCGTGGCATGTGGGATCTTCCCGGACCAGGGCTCGAACCCGTGTCCCCTGCATCGGCAGGCGGATTCTTAACCACTGCACCACCAGGGAAGTCCCTTCCTGCTCAATTTTAATTTTTTTTTTTTTTTTGGCCACGCAGCGTGGCTTGTGGGATCTTAGTTCCCCAACCTGGGATTGAACCCGGGCCCTTGGCAGTGAAAGCGCCAAGTCCTAACCACTGGGTCACCAGGGAATTCCCTCCTGCTCAATTTTCTTTTCTGTCGGTTTTACTGAGGTATTACTGACGCACAGCACTGTATAAGTTTAAAGTGTACAGCATAGTGATTTGACTAACATACATCATGAAATGATGACCCCAGTAAGTTTAGTGAATATCCATCATCTCATATAGATACAAAATTTTAAAAAATAGAAAAAAGTTGTTTTCCTTGTGATGAGAACTCTTAGGATTTACTTCCTTAAAAACTTTTCATATGTAACATACAGCAGCATTCATTATATTTATCAGGTTGTGCATTACATCCCTAGTACTTATTTATCTTATAACTGGAAGTTTGTACTTTTGACCACCTTCATCCAATTCCCCCTTTCCCCACCCCCCCACCCCTGCCACAAATCTGATCTCTTTTTCTATGAGTTTGTTCAGTTGTTTTTGAAATATAATGACCTACAATACTATGTTAGTTCTTGGTGCACGGCATAGTGATTCGATATTTCTGTACATTTCAAAATGATCACCACTCAACTTTTATGTAAACCTGAACCTGCTCTAAAAAATAGTCTTATGAAACAAAAGAAAATGGGTTGTACTTATGGATGTGCTTCTTATGAACGCATTTAATAGCAAGATCCCATAGCGGGGCTAATAATGATGGAACTCTGAAATGGTGATGAGTGGCCGACGCTCTGATTTCTGCAACGCTGTGATTTCTGTTGACAGCAAAGCCACAGGTATGGCTAATTCTACTGTGGTTTGCTACCTATATTTGTAAGTGAAGGAAGTGCTAAATTTCATCGAGATGTTCCTGGAAATAAAGGTGTCATGTTTTTGTTCCCCATCCAGGTTCACAGATCCCTGCTGTACAGTTACCTTTCTTTGACCTTCTGATAAACTCCAGGAAATGGTTTTGTCGGGTCAGAAGATGCACATTTTTAAAAGGTTTTGCTGCAATTGGAAAATTGTCTTCCAGTTTGCAGGTGCAGTTTCCAGTCATCCAGCATATAAAAGGGCCTGTTCTCCTGCCTCCAACCTGCAGCCAGGGGTCCTGGGATTCTGCATCCCCTGGGCCACTCTGCTCTTTAATACTGAAGTGAAAATCACCTAAGTGTCAGCCCGGGAGACCACGCCTTCCAAGGCTCGCTTTGCCAGTGACTTCCAAGCAATGCTTTCTGTTTCCTGCTCTGACCTGGTTGCCACTCATCACCTCGGTCACCTCCCTTCCTCTGGGCCACTGCCCTTCTCCCCAGAAATGGGTAACCTCCTGCCATCTGGTGACATCTCCAGGCTTCAGCTCTCAGGATGGCTTCTCTGGGCTCAGCACCCTCCCTGAATTCCCTAAAACACAACTACCACCAACCTGACAAAACCTGGCTGCAGGTTTGGGGAGAACAAAAGGCAGATTTAAATCGCAGATCAGGGACTTCCCTGGTGGTCCGGTGGTTAAGACTCCGTGCTCCCAATGCAGGGGGGCCTGGGTTCAATCCCTGGTCAGGGAACTAGATCCCACATGCCGTAACTAAGAGTCCACAGGCCGCAACTAAAGACCCAGCACAGCCAAATAAATAAATAAATATTTAAAAATTAAAAATAAACTGGAAGTCCACAGTCTGGGATTCTTCACGGGGGCCACATGCCTGCTTTCTTCTTAGCCCCCACTGGCCTCTGTGCAGGGGCTCAGTGAGTGCCCTTGACTGGGTCCCTATTGCCCAGCATGTAGACCTCTCCAGCCCCCCACCCCAGGGGAGAAGAAATCCTGGCCTCCCGTCTAAAGCTTGCTTCACCTCCTTCTCCTGCACCCTCCTGCACAGAGCAGTCCAAAATCGAGATTAAGGGGGAAAAAAAGTTCTTTAACTAGCTGACCCAGTTTATATAACTGAATAGAATACTTAACATCTTAGTCTAAAGCAGCTGTCTTTGGGCGTCCCCAAGAACAGCAGGAAGCTCTTACTTCACAGCTGCCTGACCAAGAGGGCTCAAGAAAGTGGTCTTTCCAAAACAATCCAGAACAAAGGGAGGATCGTCTCTGTAAACAGATCCCCTCTGCTGCCCTAGAATGCAAAAGATGTTTATAACCTTTACGATTGTCACAGTTTCTACCATCGGCAGTTTTATGATGCATTCTCCCATGGCGCCCCATGATGCTCTCATTTTATTAAAATGAATGTTTGATAATTTAGTAAAATTTATTTTTTTTAATTAATTAATTTATTTTGGCTGCATTGGGTCTTCATTGCTGCACACGGGCTTTCTCTAGTTGCAGCGAGCAGAGGCTACTCTTCTTTGCAGTGTGCGGGCTTCTCATTGCAGTGGCTTCTCTTGTTGCGGAGCACAGGCTTTAGGTGCACGGGCTTGAATAGTTGTGGCTCGCGGGCTTTAGAGTACAGGCTCTGTAGTTGTGGCACACGGGCTTAGTTGCTCCGTGGCATGTGGGATCTTCCCAGACCAGGGCTCGAACCCGTGTCCCCTACATTGGCAGGTGGATTCTTAACTACTGCGCCACCAGGGAAGTCCCTAATTTGGTAAATTTTAAATGGTACTTCAATTTGATTTAATTTATATTTCTCTGATTACTAGAAAAATTGAACTCTGGCCCATTTAAATTTCTTCCTATGTGAATTGTCTGTTTAGATTAGGAACCTATATTTCTCTCTGGTAACATGTAGGAAGTATTTTTCCCAGTTTTCCATTGTCTTTTTAACTTAATTTGTTGACCTAAAGCGTTTACACTTTTACGTAGTCAAGTCTCTTAGTACTTTCCTTTCTGGTGGCCACCTTCTGTGTTATGCTGAGAAAGACCTCCCCTACCCCAAATTCACATAAATAATCACTTAAATGGTTGTGTTTACTCCATTTGGAGTTTTAATGCAGTGTAAGGGATCCAACTTGATTGTTTCCAAGTATATAGCCAATTTCACATTAAAGTCTTCCACTGAATAGTCTCTTCTTTCCCCCACGGCTTTGAAATGCTACCTTTATTAGTTTTGGAAATCCTATACACCAGTTCCTTTGTTTTTAAAATCCCTACTACCTCCCAGCGATGTGATGATGTTTAAATGAAGTAGCTTCTTCAGAGCCTTTAGCACGAGAACATAGAATCTGCTCCAAACATGTTGGTTCTCGTCCCTTCTTCTTCTCTTTCCCAGTCCCATTTCCCTCTTCTCATGCCACATGCATCTACCATTTGACCTTGGGATTCTGCGAACAGTTCCAGATTCACAGAAGGTGTTTACTAAGGCCTTTGCCATTTGGGCCCCCCAAACTGCTTTTTGGCCTGTTAATCATCTCAGCCAGGGTGACCTTGCTCGTGAGAACTGGATGAGTGAGCCCCCGGTGAGGAAGGTGGTAATTACACAGTGCTGGGGAGGTGGGAAGTGGTGGTCAGGGAAGAGTTCACAGTGGAGGTGACCTCGGAGCTGGGTCTAGGAGGGGAGAGGAATTGGGCAGGCAGAGAAGGGAGAAGGCATTTCAGGCCAAGGGAACAGCACGACCAAGGGGTGGGTTGCGGGGTGTTGGGCAATGGCTGAAGTTGAATGTGGCAGAATGCTGGGGAGGGTGCACGGGAAGGAGTAGGGCTTCATTTAAGTGGGAGAGTCACGTGATCATACTTGTGTTTTTGGAAGATCACCCCAGGCCAGGCAGCAGGCAGGGAGACCAGGACTAAGAGGCTGCTAAGAAAACCCAAATAAAAGTCCAGGGGTGGTGGCCTGGACTAGAATGGTGGCCATGAGGAGGAAAGGAAATGGGCAGTTTTCCAAAATATCCAAATAGGTAAAATAGAAAGAATGGCCTTAGATTGGCAGAGAGGGGAGCTGAGGATGCCTCCCGGGTGCCTGGCTCGGGCAGCTGGACCAATGGTGGAGGATTTTCTGAGACAGGAGGAGCAGGTTGGGGCCCGGGTTGGGAGGACTTGGGGATGGATGGAGAGAGGCAGGGGTGGAGAAGACACAGAAAAATTCAAAATATGCAAACTCAGTGTATTACTGTATGCATTCCTGGCATCTGTTGTGAAAGGGCAGAACCAAGGAAGTGGCAGAAGGGATGGTGGGAAGTGGATGGTTTAAAAAATACTTAGGGGGCTTCCCTGGTGGCACAGTGGTTGAGAGTCCGCCTGCCGATGCAGGGGACACGGGTTCGTGCCCCGGTCCGGGAAGATCCCACATGCCATGGAGCGACTGGGCCCGTGAGCCATGGCCGCTGAGCCTGCGTGTCTGGAGCCTGTGCTCCGCAATAGGAGAGGCCACAGCAGTGAGAGGCCCGCGTACAGCAAAAAAAAAAAAAAAAAAAAAAATTTAGGAAGTTGAGTCAATAAGATCCAGGGGTGGATTTCTGCAGAGAGGGATAAATCTCGGATAAGACCCCCGGCGGGAACTGGAGACTGATGGCACCTTTTTCTGAGATGGTGAACACAGAGAAAAGTGGAGGTTTGGTGGGAAGATCAATTCAGTAACTCAACAATTCCCAATTAAGCACCTAATTGCTCTATGCCAGGTACCTTTTTTTTAAAAATTTTTATTGGAGTATAGTTGATTTACAATGTTGTGTCAGTTTCAGGTGTACAGCAAAGTGAATCAGTTATACATATATATACATATATCCACTCTTTCTTTTTTTTTAATGCCAGGTACTTTTGTATTTGGGATAGAGCAATGACAAGATCTCTGCTCTCGTGAGATGTACATTCAGTGAGGAGAGCCAGACAGTAAAGAAATAAACAGGCAAACATGTTAAATGGTAAAAAGTGCTACGGAGGAAAATAAAGTGGGGGTGGGGACTGCTGTTTTTAAAGGCATGACTAGGGAAGATGCCATTGAGAAGGTGTCATGTGGGCAGAGACTTGGAGTGGGGAAGAGCATTCCAGGCAGAGGAAACTGCAAGTGCAAATGCCCTGAGGCAGGAACGTGCTAGGTGTGTTCAAGACACAGTGAGGAGGCCAGTGTGGCTGGAGAACACGCAATGCGAGAAGTGGCAGAGGCAGATCCTGTGGGGCCATGTAGGTCATTGTAAAGACTCCGGCTTTTATGCTCAGAAGGACAGGAAAACTTTCTGGAGAGTCTTAAGCAGAAGAAGACCATGAGCTAACCTGTATTTTATCTTTTTTTATTTTTATTTTTTAATTAATTTATTTAATTTTGGCTGCATTGGGTCTTCGTTGCGGTGCGCGGGCTTCTCATTGTGGTGGCTTCTCTTGCTGCAGAGCATGGGCTTTAGAGCGCATCCTCAGTAGTTGTGGTGCACGGGCTCAGTAGTTGTGGCTCACGGGCTCTAGAGCGCAGGCTCAGTAGTTGTGGTGCACAGGCTCAGTTGCTCCGCGGCATGTGGGATCTTCCCGGACCGGGGGTCGAACCCGTGTCCCCTGCATTGGCAGGCAGATTCTTAAGCACTGTGCCACCAGGGAAGCTCTAACCTGTATTTTAAAAGCTTAGTGATTAAGAATTCTTTGGTCTTTAGATTCCCAATTCCACCATTTTCTAGCTGGGTGACCTTGGATAAGTTTTATGTATATATATACGTATATATACATATATGTATGTATGTATTCTTTTCCAGATTCTTTTCTATTATAGGTTACTACAAGATATTGAATATAGTTCCCTGTGCTATACAGTAGGTCCTTGTTGTTTATCTATTTTATATTTAGTAGTGTGTATCTATTAACCCCATGTTCCAAATTTATCCCTCCCTTCTTGGACAAGTTATTTAATTTCTCTGTGCCTCAGTTTCATTATCTGTAAAATGAGGATAATAATAGTACTCACTCTGTATGGATATTGTGAGGATTATATAAAGTTAATGTAAAGAAAGCACTTGGAACAGTTTCTGGCACATTATAGCACCGTATAGTGGCAGCAGTGATTATGATAATATTGAATAGTTATATCTTGGCTGCTGCCGTTGAGAACAGACTGGAGAGGACCACGGTGGAAGCAGGGGTGCCATCTGGGCAGCTCCTGCCATGGTCCAGGAGAACGATGAGAAGGGCTTGGACTAGAGGCCACAGTGGAAATGGAGAATTAGGAAGAGCTGACAGCATTTGCCAATGGATCAGATGTGAAATATGACAGAAAGGGGAACCAAGGACCGCTCCAAGGATTTCACCCTGAACATGTGGAAGACGGAGTTCACTGAGCTGGGGAGTCTGGGTTTCAGGGCGGAACATCATCAGGACTTGGGCCTTGAGTATGTTAAATGGGAGATGTCGACGAGGTATCTCCGTGTAAAGGTGCTTGGATCTACAAGTGACCTGAGCTGGGGGTGTAACCTTGGGAGTGGTCAGTATACGGTGGATGTTTAAAGTCAACAGACGAGATGGGCTCACCCAGGAAGCGAGTATGGATTGAGAAAAGGGCCAAGGATGGGTCTGGGAGTCTGCCATGTTGACGCTAGGGCTCAACCGATGCCACCACCCAATTGATGTGACTTGAAAAGCCTGCAGACTTTGGAAAAAGCTTGAGTAAAAGGTTTTTGTTTTGTCGGAGCTCTCTCAAACCTTTGAAGTAGCATTTCTAGGACATGTATTGGGACAGGCTTGGGAAGACAGCAGAGATGGGTAAGCCCAGAGGATGGATGGGTACCAAAGCTGAAGCCTTTGCTGATCCAGAAATATTCAGAGCCGGGGGAATTGTTGCATAAAATATCCTTTAAGGATATGTGAACTACTGAAAGTGTATAAAAATATTTCAACAAAAAGCAGCAAAGTGGCTAAGAGCATTTTTTTTTTTTTTTTTTTTCGCATCGCCCCACATGCGGGATCTTAGTTCCCCAACCAGGGATCAAACTCGCGCCCCCTGCAGGAGAAGTGTGGAGTCTTAACCACTGGACCACCAGGGAAGTCCCAGAGCGTGGGTTTTTTCTTTTTTATAAATTTATTTATTTATTTTCGGCTGCGTTGGGTCTTCGTTGCTGCGCGCGGGCTTTCTCTAGTTGCAGCGAGTGGGAGCTACTCTGCATTGTGGTGCATGGGCTTCTCATTGCAGTGGCTTCTCTTGTTGTGGAGCACGGGCTCTAGGCACACGGGCTCAGTAGTTGTGGCTCGCAGGCTCTAGAGCGCAGCAGAGCCATGGGTTTTGAAGGTGGGTGCACTACGGTGCTTCAGGCTCTGCCCCAGTGTGACCCTGGCTCTACCCAGCTCCTCCTCAGTAGAATGGGATCAGCTTAGCGCCTCTATCCATAGGCGTTGAAGAAGTGAAATAGATAATACAAAGTGCCTAGCATAGCGCTGGCCCTAAAAGAAAAGAAC